GGTTGCCAAAAAGCAAAGGATAGTTGAGGTACAATCAAGGTATAGACAATAAGGCATAGAGAGCAGCGACGGTCCTCAGTTTCTATAATTTCTTCGATGCAGATTGTATTTACGCAATTTTCTTTTTATCTTATACATATATTGTTCGACCAGCGAAGACTTTCGTGGTCGCACTTAATGATGGACATTAACAAATCGTTAACACACTTAGCCTGCAATTAATTGATTATTTCATTATTTAATCATATCTAAATTAACCTAATTATCACTAGTTTACTCGCCATTAAGTTCACATCTACACAATGATCTGTGTCATTTATAAGCCTCTCTGCCTGTCTCATATGGTCAGTTAATGCAATCGAAATCACATATAGAGACTCTCAGGTGGGGGATCGATAATAAACAACAATAACAGAAAAAAACGACGCGAAACGGAAGTCCAGATGGCGCTGAGAAGTACGGCTGGAAAAACTGGTGGCACATCCAGGAAGATTTGAATCGTCGTACACGTGCGTGTATGAAAGACAGTGGGGTTTTATTGAACGCGAACAGAGCGATGCAAAGATAATTATATCTACTACTAGAGAGAAGAGCATTTGTCTTGCTTCATTCATTTTGGGTGTCATGGTGATCACAACCGAATGTGCCATTGCCTAACACAGTTGCCTTCCGAGACCCTCCGAGACAATATTGTTCAGTATCGAGGGTTCTTGCTTACCGACCCCAGTCGATATATAAAGAATGATATATAAAAACCAATGCTGAAAATATATATACATTTAAAATATTATTACTATCACGTATACAAACAATGTTGTGCACTGGGGAAGGAACGCTGTACAGTTTTGTATTGGGCAATCTGGCCCGTTAGTAATGAGTATATATATATATATATGGTGTACATCGAAAGTGTGTTTGTGTGTGTATGTGTGTGTGTGTGTGTGTGTGTGGGTGTGTGTGTGTGTCCTAAACAAAAAAATTACCGTCGCAAATCTGAGATAAAAAAAAAGGCAACGCAGACACACAAGTACGAACACACAGGTAAACCTTTGTATTCACTGAGTTGAATATAAAAAAGGGAAATTTAATAAGCGAAAACTATAATAACTACTTACGACCCAAAACAAATGACAGAACGGAATATAAACAAGAGAACCTTTACAACGTTTACATGGCCACCAGTAGTAAGGTATATAGAAATCTAAGAGCGTCAAGCTACGGCATATCACCAATGTACTCTCACGCAGTATTTTTCCCATGTGTTTTCTTAACTGCAAATCCAGAAACAAATGGTAACGCCACTACATCAATGGGCATAAGTCTATATGAAGAACATAGCAATAGTGAGTCAAAGAATTTATGAAAAAGAAGCCTGTACCAAAAACATATTGCCTCTAAGAACCAAAGGTTTACACAGCACTTCACCCGCGAATCAGCCCCACCCCCCTCCTTACCTTAAAATATCTTCGCTCACTCAGGAAACAGCAGATGCTCACAAGGCCAAGGAAATGGAAAGGACATATGTCAAATAGCAAGCCTAATAGTCAAATTTCCCGGGAAAAATACGAAAGAAAAAAACGTTGCCAATAATGTAGTCATCTAATTGTATAAGCATCAGCGTGCTAAGAGATCACAGACAGATGAAACACACAAATTCGTATGGGGGATATAATTCGCGGGGTGAAAGTAGATCGACAGTTTGCAGCCGTGAAGGATACGTTGTTCCAAGTCCGATGCCAGTGTTTGCCTCCCTATACCGGTATAAATGGATATGCAGAAATTCATAATGTCCGGTGTTGTTTTCCTTTGCCATACCTTTGTTTCTCGTACCGCCATTACCACCGCCTTCAAACGGACCACATAGTACAGTAGCAAAAAACTGGGGGCATGAAACTAAACTGAAAAATACCACATAACTTCTTGTTAGATGCTATTGCGAGCATCATTATTTGTTCGAATATATTGCGCACGTGAAGTTGAAACGTATTTTGGCGATAATGCGCATCCGTTAACCACAAAGCGCATCGGACGTAACTGCTCCGATTCGATTTTTTTTTAGTTTTTAGTTTTTCGTGTCACAATACATTAAAGAAGTCTATGTTTGCAACGTTTACCAAGTTTCCTTTATGTATGCTTTTGTGTTGGCGTTAATTGCAAAATCGCTTGAAAGAGCGAGACAGAGCTATGAAATTCGCTCGGAATGGACGCGAAATAGTCAGAGCTACGAACGAAATAATAAACGATTAATTTTTCTAGTTTAATTGAGTAATATAAATATTATTTAATTAATATATTATTAAACAACACTCCTTATATACATACTTATATATTATATACATATTAATATAATGTAGAAAAAAATGAGGATAATAATATAAACCAGCAGTCCAAACAGGGAGAGGCAGAGGGAGAGAAACTGTCACGACAAAGGCCGTCACTCAGAGATGACATATTTACTTATGTAACCCGTTACTCTTCCTATCCATAATAACTACACGTATACAATATCGATATAGCAAACGAGCTAGCATGGGAAAGAAACTTGCTGCTTGCGACGGATCTATGCAGATCTTTCGTAGACGTGTCTTATAGTTCTTTAGTTGCTACATTACCGCCACCTGTCATTCGACATGCATATCTATTTGAATTAATGGACGAACCCCCTGAACACAAGAGTGCTGCACGTTGAGCACGCGAAAGACGGCTGATAATCAGTAGGCTATCCTTTACACATCACGTTAGCTTCGTAAGGACCGTAACGTGTTTACGTGTATGGTGAGATTAGCAAAACAGACTGAAAGCTGACAGACAACCGGGTCAACTAGGATTATGCTGGCTTGGGACACGCTTAGCTCAGTAGTCGCTCACCAGTCGCTAGGATATCTAGTCCTTAATTTATATACTCATATTTCTTACCAAGCCGAAAGCGGACAGCAGACAGCGAACAGTGGGCAAGCGAAATGGGCAAGAATTAACAGGCGTTCTTCATAAGAAGCCGAAAGGGGGGCAAAGGACGAAGAAAACACAGCGGCTTCGCCGACTAATGATAAGAACTAAAAGAAAAACAACAACAATTCAAGCAAAAATGATGTGACAGCCTGAGACGAAAGGGGCAGAATGGTGACCTCACAGTAATCTATTACGACGGCATCAACAATAACCATACCTACGACAGAACATCGGTGGCAAAGGAAACCGCGTAAACAACCAGAAAATTGCGAAGCTAATGATCAATAACATAAGTAAATAAGACAAATGATGATGATGATGATGATGATGATCGTGGTTATGATCGTGTCGACGTAGTGACGACCATCGCCGTCAACGACGACGATGAAAACAACTACCAAAACAACCAAATATGTGTACATAGTGTTATTACTTCATGAAAAAAGAATACAACAAAAATTATTTAAGATTAATAAACTAAGGTATCTAAATTAAACGTGTTGTCCATTCAGTTGGTTTGAAACATACATTTTATTTACGTTTTGCCAGCTTTCCTCTTAGTGCAATAAAAAGATTCTCATGTATTTGTAAACGAACTGAGGTAAGCTTAGGTTTTATCCATATGTATGACGAAACGTGCGAGTATTTTATGTTGCTATTTATTATAAAGTAAATGGTAACAAATGAATAAAGGATAATTTTTACATCCATTAGTGAATGTTCGCCGGCTATGGATACCAAGAGTGCTTGTGAGCTGTATAAGTAATGTAATCGACATGGGTAGAGCGATGAAGACAGAGCTAATTAATAGTTTTGCAAATACTAACTGCTGCAAAATTTCGTAGTTGTTTTCCTACGCACAGTACTATATACAAGTCGCAGTCGACAGGATTCGAACCTGTGCGGGGAGACCCCAACAGATTTCTAGTCTGTCGCCTTAACCGCTCGGCCACGACTGCACGTTTTGCTTTCATGATTTTATTTTACTTAATGTATTATAGAGTAAATAATAAGAAATTAACATTTATCATATTAATAAAGGACAATTTAACATATGTTAGTGAACAAACGCTGGCTACATACGCAACGACTGCTTGTAAGCTGCATAATTAATGCAATCGAAATGGGTAAAGGGATGAACACAGAGCTAGTGAATATACTTGCAAGTATTAATTGGTACAAAATTTCGTACTCGTTTTACATTACACGATAGTACCTATATATCTCTCGTAGTCAATAGGATCCGAACCTCTGTGGGGAGAGCCCAACAAATTTCTATTCCGTCGTCTTAACCACTCGCCCACGACTGCATGTTAAGGACATTGCATAAGTATAATAATGCTGACGAAAACTACTCATAACTATAATTAATGACATCATGTGGGGCACTGGAACTTCTATCTTTAGGATAGCATATTCATAACTTAAAATCTACCTTTTGTCTACGTCAAATGCTAATCAGATTATAAGGGTAAAAATACACCGCAGCCGAAATAGCTCAGTTGGGAGAGCGTTAGACTGAAGATCTAAAGGTCCCTGGTTCGATCCCGGGTTTCGGCAGTTAGTATTTTTACCATCCATTTAATTTGTTTGTGGAAAAAGTCAAAGGAGCGTAAGGATCTAAAATGTATTTTAAATAATAACGTAGCATTTTGTTAAAGACAATATCATTATGTTCAAATAAGTATCATTACGTTCAAATAAGTATTCATCAAATGATGTTGAAACCATGAAACAAAGGTCCCGTTTGTATCAGGAACAAAGACATTCTATTATACACATTATTTTCTATTTCTGGTTGAGATCGTAGAATTGGCCAGTATTTACTTACTAGATATAGTCGTTTGGTGAAACTGCGGAGACCACAAAGCGGACAACAATATTTGCAGAAGTATGACTCAAAAGTCGACTCTAAAAATAGACTAGCCTGGTAATAGGTTCCCTTTCTGTAATTTCCTATCCTAACCTGAAATTAATGTAGTCATCGCCATAGAAAAATATTACTAATAAAAACGCGCTCACCCAAAATAATGACAGTCAATCTAGTCGCCTAAGCATGCTTTGCTTCCTTTATTTACACAAATGACGTAAGGAGCTTGCACTCTTCAATGATTTCCTCGTCTTTATCTAAGAGAAAAAACACTTGAAGAGATGCAATAAATATCGAAACAACCATTTTCATTATAATTATGTATGTTCATTATTCATTATTAGTATTTGATCCTTACTGTTATTATTATATTTACCATTTTTACTGGTGTTTCTATTAAATATCATTAAATGAATTCCGCTTTAATTACCATGTCAATGAGAGTTTATCGCGTTGAGTGGTCATTAATACATATATGACTTCTCTCCTTTTTAGCTAAAGGGCTAAAGGGGGCAAAGGTTACTTATAAAATCGCACATATACATGTCCACATATGATAATATATTTTTTTTAGATGATTAAAATATGCACACAACTCCATACTATTACCCATAACAGTGTGTCAAACCTGCATCAAATGTCATCAAAAGATTGTGGCTTGTAGTTTGTGTTTTGTTGCTGGCTTTTTCGTTTATGTTAGACTTAAACCTTACTCGTTCCTAGTGGTTGCTCGCTGAGCACTTGACTAAGATCGAAAACTGTTATCATCAATGTCTGGGTAGATAGTAAGATAAACCCTTTCAATGACGACCTTACACGTGACAAATATCAAGGCTAGCATCAGCACCAATTTCATGCCGATCATATACGAAACTAGCAGTACCACAATCATCAAATACATAACTTTTCTTTTCGCCAGTGGCCTCAGGTAGAATCTAGCCGGGAGCTGAATTTCATTATGCTTTCTAGGACTGAGAAACGCGCGTTCTTTATGAATCTCGACATACGATGCTGGCGGTAGAATAATGTACCGTAGAATAGCCATAATTAAATAGGCTCCCCAGTCGGTGTTGCGCCGCCGATAGAGCTGTTTGATCTGTCGGCCAAACCTGGTATTCAGTTGAATTGACCATCGTTCCAACGGAGGCAATAAACATTCGATTTCGTTACTTCGAGGCGGCTGTTTTTCGGGCATGCCAAGATATCGTGAATCAAAAAGCTGCTTTCGGGGGCTTCTGCTCGTATTGCTGTCTAAGGAAACATCCATCATTTCGGCTTCAACGCTAACATTGATGTCGGGTATTTCAACGCGGAAAATTTGAGCTAGCTTATTTATGGACATCCGTAGCTTTTCCAAAGTTCGGAAATCTGAAACGGGGTTGGGCTAAAAAAAAATAGAAAAATATAGGTAATATATTAGGGTTACCTCTAAATGTTTTGTAAACAAGGCTTTGATCTAGCGCTTGGTTCTACGGACCCGGGAGTGCGATATATGCTTCATTTATATTGCTGCTATTAATTATCCTTTTGAATTAAGAAGCTCTGCACTGTATTCCTAACGCTTTTAGGAGACAATTAATCCAATAATTTGGATTAATTGTCTCCTATCCTTTGTCTCAATATTTTTTATCCACTAGAATGAAAGGCAAAATTACTGGCTAGAACCTTCTTGCTATATGAAATAACAGAGCCTCACAATATCAAAAAATGTCTTGGGTTAGTTTTGGAGCACCGTACGAAAATACAGAAAAGTTGTTTACGTAATTCGCTTTTTGGTCAATAGGCAGAAACAAACTTGATTAGCTGCGCTTGTAATATACAACTCAATAAAAGATATTAACTTTATTAAAACTATTAAAAGTTAACTTACCGTTGTGATTCCTTGCAAACTTTCCCAAAACTTAGGCCACCAACCTTTCTCCCTTAAGGATCTTTCGAGAACTTCTATTCGAGCTTCAACCCTTACTTGGCCATTGCGTAGGCTGCGGATAAGATCGCGTGCTTTAGCCCGCCAGTAGTCACTGTATACAGTCTCAAAGGTGAACCCCGGATGCTCGAATTCCACTTTTGAATGCTGAAGTAGGTCCCCTATCGCTTCTCGTCCTAAAAGCACGTCCATTAGACCTTCTTGACTAAATACCTATTAAAATCATAAAGATAAAATGAAAAAAGGCACTTGGTACTGCAATATTTATGTATTTACTTTAGTAAAATGCATATATTTATAATAAAAAATGAAAATTTACCAATGGTCGCGGGCGTTAGATTCTTCGTACAAAGAACGCCCGCGTATGAAAACTCGCACTATGGCTTATTATCAGAAATGTCGTATCTAAGGGTAATCGTGAAGCGTCAAGCTAGATATAACGATAGCCTAGCTGGATATAAAGAGGGAAGTCTAGGTATAAAGTAAGCGTTTTATTACGGTACATCATTTCAAAAAAATTCGAATAAACCACGTGCATAAAACCTTCTCGATTTAAATCGACAAATCAGGCTGATTTTGCCGATATCCGAATTAGTAGGCATCCTATGCTATCCCCGAGTGTAGGCGGACGAGCGCAAATCACAATTATAGTTATTTTTTTTATAGCGTATATTATGATAAGAATATTATCAAAACAATTAATATAAATAATAGGTTTGAAGCAATACTAAATGGCAGTACCGACAGAAAACTCGAAGCATTTACTCTGAGTATAAAGTAACGAGTCAGACACCTGTGCACCTTCACAATATCGAGTTAGCTTTTACCTTACTTATAACTTGTGTAATGACACACTTTTTGTAAGGCTCATTCCACAATTCAACATCTAAATCTACATTACCGCATCCAAAACATTGTATACAATTACCTTGCATATCCTGCTGATTAAAACGACGTTCGGCGCCAGGCTAAGGTCAAGTACGCTAATTCTTTCAAGTGCTATGAGTAAGAAATGCGTGTAGAAAAGAAGATGCTGATCAATGAACATTATATATCGGTCAGGATTGTGCAAGTCGCCGTACACACCCGAAGCCACCTCGCCACTGGCGTACCTCCATGGCTGGATAAATGCAAGCCAAACTTCAAGCGGCAACCGAAAACTCGAGTCCAATGGCCATGTCGTTAAAGCCAGTCGAATGAACTTGTATAGACGTCGTCGCAATAATGGGGGCGTGTTTGATTCGAAATAGCCGCACGAGTGAAGTTTTTTAACGAGCATGCACATGGCGCGTTGCAGCTGCTGATTTTCTCCTGGCTTCGGATTCGCGAACCATAGCTCAGACAGGACGTTCATCAGGGTCATTGTTCGGCTGCTTGAGTTTAATAAAAGCGACGAATTTGAATTCATGCTTAGATTGCTTCCGTTAAGGAGACTGTCCTTTTTCAAAAGGCAGTGGTGACCTTTGCCGACAGGCCGTCCACAGGGGTGAAATCGACTGCCGAGGCTCTGCAGGATGGTTGTCTGCACTGTGCTAGGCTCGTTGCAATCGAGGAAGTGAGCCAAATAACGATCGAATAGGGTGAAGTACACGACAGTTGGCCAGTTATTAATGTCCATCTTAATTTCGGCCACCCAAGGCTCGACGAGATGTCCTATCAGATGGAATAAAAAGTACTCAATGGGATTCAGCTGCAAATAGTTGTTGTCCAGGGAAAGCTTGTGCAAAAGGTAGTGTGAGGCATTCGATTGCACCAGCTGTTCGACCAAAGCAGTGGGTAGTTTTGTCAATGGAAGCAGGACTCGAGGTACAGTCATCTGGTGTGTAAACAGAACATTAAAGATGGGAGATTAGTCAATTTTTTTTAGGTACTACGTGCTTTTCGTACAGACCAAATGGCCGCATGAAATTAACTTTGTTAATGGTGCTAAAATATTAGTTGAGCCAATATGTGTGAACGCAGAACAACAATAATCCAAATTCACTTGATTATCACACACAGCTAAATCCATAGGTTCAAACATGCTGCTAGTCTTACAGGAGGCTACTCTATTATAAAGCCTTTATTCCCGTAGAGCATTCCCATGTGATTAGAATCCGTATGGTGTGTACGTAAAGGAATCTATGTTATGACAAAAAAAATACATGTTCCTAAGCAGGTTACCACTATTCACGTCTTCATATCCAACAAATGCCCAGTAAACAAGCGACTTGGCATACCAACGAACCTGGGTAGTAAGTTTTTCAACGAGTTGAAATACAGGACCCTTTGGCGAGAGGAGATTCACGAGGCCCATGTACTCGCCAACAGCAAGACGATCATTGATGGCGCAGAGATTGATCTCAAATAGATTACCGATCATATGCGAATAATATGCCTGAAGCTCTTTCGCGCTGTGAGTGTTCAGATGTCTGAAAAGAATTGAGTTCAGAATAGAGCATAGAGCAGCATCGCATGTCAAAGAAAAGTTTTGTTAGAGTAAACGAAAGAGTACTATCAATTTTCAGATATCAATGTGCATAGATTGTCGGTTCTATATAACTACTGTGACACTTCACGAGGTCAATGCAAATGTGCAATGCAGATCTCACTTTATAAAGCGTGAAGGTGAGTAAAATAACAGCCGTTGGTTCTAGAAGAAAATCTCAAGTAATACTTGACGTATTAGATATAAAATTCGAGACATTTATTTTTAAAAAATCCATTGTTTGGTTTTGGGTTTCACTACGCCGAAGTATACTGGTCAGTCAGACGATGCTCTTCATAAATCTCATAGTTCATTTGTCGTTTATTTTCTAAATGATTGTTAGACAGTATCATGAAGCACCTGTAAAGTGAAGCGGTTTTTTCATTACAACAATGCATACAAAAGTCGGAATCCAGCCCATATCTGTCCCAATTCGTACATGTTATAATGCTATCTAATACACATCAGTTATAAAATTCAGTCAGCCCATTTATGCTAGTTTTTCATTATACATTCACATATTCGACAAATTTCAAGCTAAGTATTCTGTTTCAGGAATACACTCTTCAGATAATAATTTTATCTATGGTTATATCATTATTGGAATTTCGCAGGTAATTGTATTGCAATAAACGGTGTACACATTCCCACTTACCACTCCAACAATATACCCAACTACTTTGCTTTCATAATAATGTACTTGATTCAGAGCCAATTTAACCTACAAAATATATGTATATTTGTTCTATTCGTCGCCACATTTTCCTTGATGCAAGTTTTCAAGCGTTTATTCCTCATCATGTAAAATGCGAGACATTTCCGAGAGGCCTTCCGACGACCCGATCTCTCTCCCCCGTGGAAAACAGCCTTAGCGGCGGGCGAGATTACTTCGCAGCGCTTGGCCCCATGCTGAAAACGGTTCTTCTTAGAAATCGTCAGCGACTAGAGCGGCGCCGAAAATGGACATTGACAGTCTCGTGCATGAAACAGGGAAGTATATTAATAGCATATGTAAGCTAATTACGGTGTTTTTTTACACCCTTTTACAGTCTTGTTTTTATCAATGCATACAATTTGAAAAGGATGGATACATCGGCAAGGTGGTGAATTTTCTTGGGGACGTTAATCACCTTGGGTCCTGAATCAGAAGTTCATGAGCTCTCCGTTTCTTTGGCTAGGACTGCAAAAGGGCAAACAATATTATTACGAAAAAACACGAACTTTTCAGTTCTCTCGTCCTTTATATCACAGCACCCACCCGTCAAAAGTAGAGGTACAGTTATAAAAGTGAGATAACCGGAAACATTGCCTACAATATTACTAGGTGGAGAGGTGAATAGAAGCACTTTTTAGGCGTAAGAATGAAATAACTGGGAGCCAGTGAATGTTCATCCAAGGGCCATCGATTACAACAACACCAGGGGGTCTGAACAACAAACCTAGCTAGCCCATCTAAACTCCCAGAGCCGAACGTTCCAGTAACCGGGCCAGCTTCAAGAGGACGAGTTACCGCCAGTCGGAAGGAAAGACCACCAAGCCGAGCAGGTGGACTACAGCCACACTCATTCAACGTTCGAGGACTTTATATAACAGGCTCTTGCAGCAATGAAGACTGAAGAGCTAGCCCTTGCACGCGACGACTGAATCACCGCAGCCGTTCCCCCCCAAAACTGGACCTTAAGGAACTGATAAAAATAACATTGCAGAACTGCGAGAAAGCTGCAACCCTGGCGCTCCTTTCCCCAGAAGCCCTAGACAGTATAAATATTCTCGCGCTAACAGAGGCTTAGGCAACTAGCTCTTTTTAATATAACACGTTTCATTCTGCGCATTGCCCGACAATAAACAGACCTGGCCGCCCTAGTGGATGTATCTCCGTTTTCTAAAAATATAAAATAAGCGATCTCGCGCCGTGCCTAATGGAAAGAATGACTTGTGTGACCAGCGATTAAACCTTGTAGCAGCCTCTGTTCGGCCGGCTAATTCAGAGTCAACGCACGTACCGGTAAGGAAACTCGTCAATGGGCTGAAAGAACTTTTCCTAGAACATGCAGAACGTTCGGTCATCGATATTTGTTATTATCGGGGATAGGGTAAAGTTCAAAGGTTAAAGTAATTTCCTGTCAGAGAGCGCAAGCATTTGTGCTCATGTATCAGTAGCGATAGATCTCATTGTCCAAGTTACACCCGCGCAAAGTGTCAAACACCAAGCTCAGTCGAGATGCTTTGATGTAAGCAAACTTCTGAAATGCACCCACAAAGTTCTTTCTGTCGCCGAGGCGGTAAATGCCGAAACCTATGCAAAACATTGGTTGAAATTATCGAGTCTACAGTACAGCTTCTCCACCTTCGCCGAAGTACAGGCCGTTTAACTATATTTAGAGCCTTGTCCCAAAGCTCCAAATGGCCTTTAGGCATACATCCGAGGTACAGCATAAATGCTACCCCTTAGCCTTCATCTTTAAAACCTGTCAAAAAACGTATGCAGCACGGAAACAACGGTATCTTGAGCAGCTGGAGACATGTTTGATCGCCGCTATAGAACGTTAATTGTACAAGTAGCTAACGCACCATGGCAATCCGACGACTTGCTTTATTCGGTCTTCGTCCTTGAAATATCGTTTCTCGGAGATGTTTCCGCCAATAGATACGATACCACGCACAGTGCCCCTTTTCGCCGCAACGTGGCAAGAGGAGATTTTAATACAACGTGATATCCTTCAATAAAATTCCGTCATAAGGTGCCTACGCAACAGCAAAGCCGTTGGTTCAGGTAAAATCTACAACGAGCATCTCAAATGCACCATCGTTCTGGCCTCGTCTTGGACAGCGCTGTTTAATAAATGTTTGCGTACTAATACATTCCCAGCACAGCAGTGAGGTGCTAACCTATTAATGATTTCCAAAGGAGAGAGCGACCTTATCTCGTTATCGTCATGGCCGGAAATAGCGAAGAAATGTTTGCTATCGGTTGCTCTCCAGCTTGCTGACTAAGGTACTAAATAGCTACTTACGAAGCATACACGTCATCTCAATGCTGAACCGGAAAGAACGTTGCATGAAAACGGCGCGCAGGATCATGATGGCTGACCTCAAAAAAGCACTGGCAACACAATCCGCTACACGCGGTGCTTATCGACTTAGAGGCAGCCTTCGGCTCGGCGCCCAAAAACAAGGTTCTGTTCACACTAGCCGAGGTAAATGGCCCTATGAATGTACTCAACTTTTCTGGTGTGATTATACAGGAAAACAGAAAAACCATTTATGGCGGAGTAGCCAAACTCCCGCTCTTCAAGCGGACAACGCCCTGGTTTAGGGAAGTAACGTACGCCTACTCTTATCCTCCATCTTGTTGAAAGTCCTTTCTAATCGCCTCATTACTTATGCCTAGCAGCTGCGCTTAACTTATTCGATCCCAAAGCAGCTTCGATCGCAACATATGAAATACGCATCGTGTGGGTCAATATTACAGTACAGAACTTCGAACTCCTTCCCAAAAAAGCGTTGGAACTATACAAAGAGCTCCAAAATCGTTTCGCGTGTCTCCTAGCAGACTCGCCACTGCTGTTCGAGGATTTACGGTGTCGTTTTGAGCCCCCAGAAACGAAAGCACTCATAACGAACTTTGGGAAACAGGAGCAAAAGTCCGCGCAGATTGACAGGGATCTCTTTGCTTCATGTGCAGTTAGGAATTATGAGTGGAAAGGGATGAACCAGCTAAATAGACACGTCGTCATTCGCTTTGCCGCGCCTGAGTTTTACCATAGACTCTGCAAGGAACTAGGTTTCCACGAATTCGATCATACATGTAAATGCTGCGAATGCAAGTAAAACTGTGATGGATAACGTGTCGCTCAATACATTCTGATATCAGCTCCAGGACGTCTGGCAAATCTCTCAAACTAGTTTTATAAGTCAAAGAGACGTATATAACTCACACGACGCAAATCGTTTTTAAATCGTTCTATTGATATTGGGATACTGTGTTGTTAATCTGTATTTATGAAATTTTGTATGCAGCTTTTGATTACTACTAGCGAAGATGAATAAATATAATTTGATTAATTTATCCTTTATCACGAAACGGCAGAACTCACTTAGTTAAAAGTTCGCATTTTCGGAAGATGTTTGGTTCCCGGAGAATAAGGAAAGGGTCGTTCTGCAAGTTGTATGTTGGTCCGGGTGGCAAGGACCCATAAATAATGCTTCCGATTGGATTGTGCATCTTGTTCAATGGGTTTTCCGTCACCTACGTTAGTTAGTTCCTTGCTGGTGCGTCAGGTTTGAAGTTCTTATGCACTAATGCGGCAAGTAGAATTTTACTAAATACATATTGACGCCCTCGAATAGACACCACTTTTGCACATACACAAAAAACCTAACATAATATATAAAAATCAGATTCGAACTTTGCCAATTTCACGAACGAATTTTACAATAAGCCTCGGCAATTCGCCGCGTTCAGGCGCCGAAATGTTTGCATGCAACAAATGGAACACGATAACAAAATTCAACCAGAAAGGGTAATGCAAAGGCGGGAAAATTCAAGCTTCATCAGGATCAACAAAATGCCTCATATACCGTGTGCAATTTGTGTGAATAAAGAAATTTATATAATATATTTGAATATAGCAGACGGATATATAGATATATTTTTTTTGCTTTAAAGGCTATATATGTGTCATATTGAGAACGAGAAAGCATATCTTATCTCCGAGGTTGAGAGGTTTTTATAATAATATGTGCTTTGAAGCCATAAAACTCGGCACAATATCGAATTCACCCTTCGATCTTAGTTAAATAAAAGACGTAATGGCGAGCATCCAAATAGAGAATAGTGTGCATATTAAATGACAGGTTATTTATTCGGTATTATACAGCTGATACTTTGAGCTCCCTATCGGAAGTAATGTAGAATTATTATGTTCCAGGTGCACAATAATAGAGATGCTTTTGTTAATCATCATTATTATTATTGTTGTTGATGTGAAATAAATGTATAGTGTGTGACAATATTGTATTTCCGTTGGAATCGATTTTTTTTAAAAGCAAAAAAAAAAAATGAGCACAAGAAAGACGGAAGTTCATTTCATAAATACAAAAATTCTCATTACTGTACATTAAATTTAATCCAAGTGACTCGAAAAATTTAAGTATAAGCTAAGTTCGAAGAAGTTTTATATGCAGCATTTTTTTTTTAATGAGATGCAAAAATCAGAAGAGGAGCATGGAAGTGTTACATTCAGAATGAAAGGTGGTCTTACATATATAGTCACTTTTCCATCTGTATATTTATGCCTGTTTATAGACGTCTTTATATAATGCATGGTTTCGGCGAATTTCGCTTTTTAATTTTTATTTAAGTTTTGAGTAATATAAGTATTACAATTGAATAGTATTTATTCAATTGCAAAACTAAGATAGTTAGGATATTTTTTTATAATACTATCAGTAGGTTAATCTTTTTCTAGTGTTTAGTCACATACAAAGTTGTATCGACTTCATAAAAGAGGTTGTAACATTTGAACGAAATGCTTACACAAATCTAGAACGAAGAATCCGTGAATCGTGAAATTAAACAAGGTAGCATGTTTAGACAACCTTGGTAGTCCTAAATAAAGTCCATCCTATTTGAGATTCACATTTGAATGAGCTAGATCGACTGTTCTGCATTTAGTTCGCAATTTACTGAAGGCTTCGAAGAACATCACCAATTGTATTACATCACGCCAACTTCAGAAACGAAACCAACAAACCCGTCAATGAGACCCACAAAGCCATCACCTAACTGACCTTAGACAAATGTTACATACTACTTATACTTTGCAATTCCTGCAGACGCGCCGTTCCGAAGCACCAAACGGCTTTTTGGTTTGGTTATTATACAAGAATAGCATTAGGGTCACAGTAAGCTTCCAGAGAAAGCTTCGCATGGTGTCATAAAGTTTTTTTTATTTTTCTTTATTTTTGTCATTTTATTCAAATGACACGTTGAATCCTAACGCAATTATGCTTTTTTCGTAACAAAAAAGTGATCCGTATAAGAAGCATTAATATTTATTACTGTTATCCTCTTCAAATTTCAGTTTCCTTTCAGTTTCATTTGTCACAATATTTTCTCAAACATGAATACAAAGTAATCCTTATTCCGACACGCAGTTATAGAGGATAATATAGCATTCTAATATAATAAAACGTCACTTGGTGTTAATAGAAGTGAAGAATAGACATTAAGAACCAGGCACCTGCTTGACAATTCGTTTTCGTTGTTGACCTTGGGGCTTTTTATTATTTTACATTATAATGCTGGCAACATGATAGAATTTCTAAATTGTCTATTTTATCAATCGATCAATGTTATGCTGCTTAGCTGGACTAGGTAAAAGCGACACGAATAGCTATGCTAGTGATGATGATGACGAGTATGATTCCACTGCATAGTAAACAAATACATTGACGCTTGGCTATATAAAATAGTTGTAGCGTACGGTCCTCTATTGTTCCGCGTAACTATCAAGTTTTCTTGCTAAAATTCCTCAGTTCTTTTTCGACGTAAATCGCTCAACCGTACTCCGGCCATCGACAAACTTGGTCCGGAATAACACGTTAGCGTTGCTAAAGAGTCCGTCCTTTAGCGAAACAATGATAAACTGCGAGCTCTTAAAGTGATTCTTGATCATTAGGCCAATATTTTGCGTGTGCGAGAGATCCAACGCGGCGTCCACTTCATCCAGGATATAAATTGGTGCCGGCTTGAATAGCAACATCGCAAGAATCAGTGATAAGGCTACGAGAGAACGCTGGCCTCCGCTAAGTTCCGTAAGCGACTCCTTCCAGACTCCACCGAACGACACCTGAATGGTGCAATGAAGTACGTCAATTCGAAATCTGTATATAGACGGAATAGACATTTCATGTCTATGTACTTATTTCATAAGCGATCACTGCTATACCGAGCTTTATCGTATGAGAATTGCCTCTTACCTCATCGTATCATTCCTTCATACTTATATAAAACAGTAAAAAACAGGTATTTTTGAGCAATTTTACATGCACTGTATAGCGAGTCAATGCAAAAAGATAGTTCTTGTCCAAAGAAAAAGAATATTGCAGAAGTGAGACTAGGCACTTGTACCTTAACCTCAAGACCATCCAGGAGGCTCTTGCCATCTGGTGGTTGCAATTTGGCATTGGCGCCTGTAAGCAAATTGCTGAAGATGTCCCCAAAATCCTTGTTCACTCGCTGATACGCTGCTCTAATCGTCGCCTCTTTCTTGATGTCGAGTTCTTTCATCGTCTGAAGTATGCTATCCTTATCCTTCATCACTTGGGTCCGCTTCTTCATTAGATCTTTGTACTGGGCTTCGATCTAAACACCACAGAGCCAACAGGGTTCTTATAATTACCAAAAAAAGATCGCTATGCACAAACAATTGAAGATTGTCAAACTATCAATAAACCCGGCCCCGTCGCTACGTGTCAACAAACACTGGTAGTCAACCTACAAGAATATGACTCATAGACACAGCGACTTAACGGCAAAGTTTCTGATTGACAGAAGTTCAAGGTTGCTCTTTCGCGTTATGACTCATAAATATTGTACGCTTCGAATGAATAAGGAACTATTTTATAGCTCCTTTTTTTTTTAATATATATTTTATAATACTAAGCAAGCGCTAACTAATAAACATAAAAAAAGCCGTCATTAGAGAAACACTGCCTACAGTTCGTTTCCTTCAAACGCACCTAACACTTTAAAACATTATCCGTACTTTTCGATGTACATCAGGCGCTACGGTAAGAACCACAACGACAAAACTTCGCGATAGATATGTACTAATATTCGCCCTCAGTCAGAATTCGTGGACTGCTAGAGCCATAAATAGGGTTTGACAAATCTATAAAATGTTGCCGAAAAATGCAAGTATAAGCAATACCGGAAAACGGTCAGGTCTAATTATCTTTAAGTATTTGAACGACAATTACCTGACTCGCTTGTGTATGCGCCCGAGCATTGACAGTCTTCGATAATTTCTCTTTCTGACTAGCTAACTCCTTCACTTTGCGACCAACCTCACGTGGTTCGTTTCGACCGAAGTCGTAGTCCGTATTTGGTTTTCCGAAATGCTCACGATCCTTGCGGATCCACGGATACTGGTCAAGCATCGCTTGGACGCCCTCCGCCGCATCAACTGCTTCTCTGCGCTTCTTTTTAACATCGTGCTCGGCCTGCTGATTGGAGAGTTTCATCTCGTCAGACTGTTTTTGCTTACGTTCCACATCTTTGTAGCGACTTGCGATCTCGGCAGATTGAGCCTGGACTAGTTGCCTGTGCTCCTTTAGCTTCAGCGCCGCGTTTTTCTTCGCTTCGATCCGAACTGCTAGAGCATCTTCTTGAGCTTTCAACTGCGTGGTTAACTCATTAAGTGCTTCATTACAAATATTCGACTTTTGCTGAGCCTCTGTAAATAGGCAGTACATAAACCGAATTGATAGGTTAGAATTGTCTAGCTAACGTACATGTGACCGCATTGAATATGAGCATACAAAATAAGCATGCCAAATTTACAAACGGAGTTTCCATTCTTGTAACACTGCAAGAGACGCAACGCTATAGGCCAAAAAAGAGGCTCACTTTCGCTATAACAAATTCCAAACATTTTTTTAAGAAATTTTTTGGAATTTATGTGACTGATAGGCTACTCGTATAAATGGTTGAATATGTACATACTGAAAACTTCATACCTTCATACACATACCTTCAATTTCTTTCGCAAGTAAGTCAATATCTCCGTGTAATTCCTTCAGTTTGAATTCCTTGTTTCCACATTTTTCTGCGGCCTCTTTCGCTATTTTCGCGCACCGCTCGATTTTCGCCTTGGCCTCTTTAATTTCCTTCTCTTGCTGGCCTTTGGCATTTATCATCTGATCTTTCAGCTTTTTAATTTTTGCATCGGCTTTCGTTTTTCGAACAGTCATTTCTTCAACAGTTTTTCGACGCTGCTCAAGCTCAGTGACCATCGCTTCGACTTCTTCTCGAAGCTGGGCGTGTGTGGTGTTTGCCAAACGGGTTTTCCACTGCTCCCATTCAACGCGTCGCTGCATTAAATCCCGATTAAGAGCGTTGAAGCGATCAGCTTGCGTTTCCGACAAGCGAAGCTCTTCTGAGATCCTCTCATAGTGTTCCTAAAGTCGAAAATAGTGTGTAGCATAGAGATATTTATGAGTCTTATTTTTATGAACAATAGTAACAGTATACTAATATGTAGACAAAAGTGGCAAAAGAATCTTAAGTAAGAAGAAATTAGTTACAGTAGTTGTTGTGTTGTTGAGTACTTTCTCCTGGTCAACTCTCGACCTGGATTTTTCCACTGAATCCGGCTTTGGTGTTTCTTCGGACCGCACCTCTACGAAGGCCATGGGCTGAACATGCTTGACCTTGTGGCTATGCTATATGTGTTCTCACAGTTTCGTTTTATGCTCTCCTCACTGTAGTAATATTTAAAAGTGATCTCGATTTTGCGCAAATGTCCGTGTCAAACACTGAAACAGTGCAGACGCACACAATAATAAATGGCTACGTTCAATAACTACATCAATGATTTCCTATTTCGGATTTAACTTACCTCAATTTGCTTTAGCTCAAGCTGAGTGGCCCGCCTTTGTTCAAGTTTCTCAAGTGCACTAGGTCCTTGAGCGGACGAACCTCCGCTCAGCATCCCGCTGGGATCACACGTTGAACCGCACGCCGATACTGTCTTAGTGTTCACTGACCTGTCGTAAGCGACCCGTTCAGCGATATCGAGTGATGCTGCAATCAATGTACGGCCAAAAACGTATTTCATCGTTTCCTCGAGTCGATGATCAAATGTGATTAGATCGAGCGCCCGGAACACGTTATTGTGTCCACCAACATTTTGGGCAGCTTGGAGTCGACTCTGATCAACTTCAGAACCCCGAATTTTGTTCAGTGGAATGATTGTGACTCGTCGCTGAAGTTGGCCATTCTTTAAGAGCTGTTTTGCTGTTTTGTCATTGTCAACGATCACCTGAAACAGTTTGCCACCGGCTGCTGCTTCGACGGCACGAGCCCATTTTCGGTCTTTCAGCTGGAATAACTGGCAGACTGGACCTATCACCTTAGAACGATCAAACCCGTGGTATGGGTCACGATAATTGAAAACCAGATGCTGATTAACTGCATCGAAGTTGTCTACCTCAGCTTTGAGCTTTCGAAGCTTAGGGACCAGTTCTTGTTTCTTACAGTCAAGTTCCTCAACAAGTTCCGCATCGTACCCAAGTAATGCCAGCTGCTCCTGCAGTTGTTTTACGGCCAATTCTCTGTTCTGTAAAATGTGGCGAAAATAAAACAATGCAAGAACTCGTTAGATAATGTTTTTATTTAACAACATTAAAAACAGTTTCGTTAAATTTGAAGCTAAATTAAACAGTATTTTTGCTGAATCGCATGCCAACCTTCACATTGAGTTGATACGTCACAACCTTACTGTCTGACTGCACTAGTAATAATAATAATAATAACAATAGGACATTTTTAAGCATAAGCATAAATTTTGTGCTTCATTTATAATCTCTGTACGACATGATTTCTTTTTTAATCAAAATTAGATACCTGCATTTCGGCATTTTCCTTCTGGAAGAAATTTTCAGTCTCGGCTAGTTGTTTGGCCTTTATCTTGTAGGCTGGCTCTATGTGTCGGATTGCGTTTTTTGCCTGCTGCATTTCATCAGTGCAAATAGCAGATTCGACTTCCGCCTGTCGAAGTTGTTCCGTAACAGTTGTCGCTACTCCATCCTCGTTGGTTGTCATACCTCAAAACAAACAAGCCACGCATAAGGATATTTATATAAAGGCAACATGAATTATACTTTCAGTTTCATTATAAAGGGCGGCATCGAACGACTAGAAAATTACCGTAATGTTTGAAATGTAAAAAAAACAAAAGAAAGCCTATTTTACCCAACGATAGCCCTTTCACCTAATGAAAGCGTCCGTAGTTGTCTTGAAAGATGCAAAAACAAGTTGAGAGATAAACTCAAATAGTTGTAGTCGTATTGCTGAACTTGCTTTTTGGGGACGAGCGATTTCATGTAGTTGAAAGCTTAATCATCTAGACTAAGAGGTAGAATAATGTAGGTTAAGTATCATTTGGAGAAAACTAGTAGGTTATTTAACACTTAATATAGCAAGTTCTAAATATAGTAATTCAATAGATCACACTTAAGTCAATAAGCTTGAATGGGACACACAAACTTGAACTGTATATAGCGGCGTACCCATAGCAAGCGCTTCTAGGTTTTTCTTTGCTAAATCCAGTTCCTTTTCGGCTTGATTCTTGTCCTCAAGCAGGGTCCCCGAAGCTGCTTTAAGTCCTTCAATATCAGCATGTTTTTTCGCAATCTGGGATTCAGCCTCCAGGATGTTCTTGCTTGCCTCCTTCAGTGACTTTCGTTCACGATTTACCTGCTCGTTTAAATGTTTAACATCCGATTCGCCTTTGGCTTGCTCCAACTCACGTTTCTTTAACTCTTCTTCTAGACCCTAAGAAAAATTATACAATACACAAACACGTACATGACGTATCGTTAAACCACCTATTAATTTAATTATACTCATCAACTCGAAACGAAGTGTACCTATGCTTTGTTTCGCACCCAGGCCAACTCACAGTTCCCTACGCAAAGAAAATGCGTTACCACTATTATACTGCTATATTAGAGCAGGCTACCACCATTATACTGCTATATTACAGCGGCAGTATCGTTGAATCAATTAAGATCCGACTCATTTGTCTTCATTACGTTCCAGTTTTGAATTAGCCTTTCCGTGGAAGTGATTCAGTTGCGTTAGTTCTTCTTGCACTGATTGATTAGAGTTTTGACTTTAACAGACATTTTTTAGCACGCAGAATCTGCTCTCACCTGAAGCTTATTGCCACTTTGTTGATCTTTATCCTTCTCAAGCTCTTTAAGTTCCTCCTTCGCTTGTAGAATTTGTTCTTTAAGTTCCTCAATTTTGGCTAAATTTTCTTCTACAGTCTTTACCAACTGCTCAACTTCGTTAGCCAAACGCCGCTCGCCTTCCTCGGCACAGAGAAATTGCCATGCCGTGTGCACTTTTTGTAGCTGTTCTAGCTGGCGACAAATCGTGTTGTAACGAGCAAATGCTTGGCGGTCCTCTGCAAGCTAAGAGCGAACGAACCAAAACTAAGCACGTTAGTAGTTTATAACTTTTTTTTACTATTACACAAATTATGTGGTATCTTATAAGGTAAGATAATGGATAATAGAACCAGACGTAAAACTCATAAGGTGAGTTTTACGTCTGGTTCTATTGCCTTAGTTAAGCACTGCCTCAAATGGCTAGAAGTCCCTCCCGACATGAAATGTGTCTAAACGCGGTTTTGAACCTAGACAACCTCACGTGCACCTCCGACTTCCTTACTAGTGGGTTAGTATTTTTCTGTATGGACTGATTTTGCTGTCCTGCAGTTACAGCTCATCACATAAATCGCTACTTAAACGTCTCTTAAAAAAAGGCCTGCAGTTAAAACAGCTCATCTGCATCGAAAATCGGTAATTATTATAGGTCTCACTTTTTAACTTCCTAAATTTCAGAATTATAGCACATTGCTCCAAATAAGCACTGGTGATCATTGATTTACCTTAGGCACCCGGCTCAGGCCTGAATCCTAAAATCTGGTCAAACATTCGCAAACATCCATTCGTTTACGTTTTATCTAAAAAAAAGTGATAGGTATACTACTTCTAATACCTAATTGGACATCTACCTTCGTCATCTGTGGCTCAAGATCTTCCTGCAACACCTGCTGTGTCTGCATGAGTTTACTATCCTTTTTTTCTATCGTTCGCCGCGTTTCTCGTTTTTTGTCCTCATACATGCGGGTTCCGGTAGCCTCTTCCAACATGGCCAGGATTTCTGGCGGTTTCATGTTTAACACTTTTGTCACTCGGCCTATAACATTCAACCATCACAAATACAGTGCATTTACGTAAGTATACTAATTTCAGGTAAAAAAAAATACACAGAACTATTGAGGCTACCTTAACTTCCTATACATAAAATTAACATTTTGAAATGCTATAGAATAGATAATAGTAAAGAAGTCAACAATTTCAGAATACTACACATTTTACATAGAATAATGATAATAATAATAATAGACTGACTCATATCGAGCAATCTATAAACTGCATATCTTTTTGTTTCTGGACACGCTTGTGTATCTTAATTACTGTGCTTAATGTTCCGCTACTTTGCTCTTTAAATACAAAACGCTAGGTTAATCTAGGTTGAGCTCAAACTCACCTTGCATTATGAGAAAATGCGGATTATTAACGTTCAGCGACACTGATCCAAAAAGATCCTTAACTTTATTAGCTGGCACCACGGTTCCATTAATCAAGTACCTATTGATATATTAAAAAATAACACGATCTGTCAGCAATAGAAATTATTTCTATATTTAGATTTTCTTTCAAAACTGCTAAGTACGGTCATGGAACTAAGGTTGTATCTAGTCAAAGTAACATATATCCGCATACTCCTGTCAGTTTACTAGAAACAATACTAAGAAAAATTTCGTATGACGGAAAATATCTGATAACAGTCCACAAAAGTAGTTCGGTACATCTCGATGATCGCACCTGTTCTTGCCCTGCTGCTTATAGACCTGCCGAGTGATCGTAATCTCGTTGCACGTATCATAGCCGACGGGACTCTGGGACTTATCGCTATTGTCGAAGACGATGGATACGGTTGCCTTCTCGATTCCCGCCTGACCATTTTTGTAGATCAGCTCTTGAAGGTTATTGGCGCGTACATGTGACAAATTCGTGATGCCTGGGTCATGATACACAATCGTTAAGAAAGCGAAGAACAATTAGATCCAGCAAAAGACAGGCAAGACAACGCAAAAATGGAATAAATACGAATGTCTGTTATAGAGACGGCATAAATATTGTGCAACTTGAAGTATGATATTTTCATGTTGCCCTGTCCAAATAGTCCATAACAGTCCGCAATGCTTTGCCAGCGGCTGTAGGGCTCTCATTTGGCAGATAGAGCTGTAATATTAATCTGACAGAGGAGAACATAGGAACCTATGTTTTCCTCTGTTATATTGGCAATACAGTGAATCATCGAAACCTTTATGCGATGACGAAATCATGCCAAGCAATGAGAGTCGTGGAAATACAACTAAACAGCTAAAATAGTGCACAGTTACTTCACCAAGTCTTTTACTCATGATTATCGATTTCTAATACCTCTTGACCTCCATTGCATACAGCATACATAAAAAAAAGCTTTTCATTTACCTAGCAGTACAATAGTATCGTCTATATATATATGCAGTTATACAATGGAACATCCTATTTTTTTTCGACGAACTGGTTTGGATTTCGTCGTTGGCTGAGAAAGATAGGTAAACTTAAGGTCACTCTATCTACATTTATATAAGACTTAAGATGGTTCTATTATATTATTATTTGCTTAATTACAGCAAGCAATGCAATATTTGTTAGTTGAATCAACAGCGTACAAACTACATAATTTATTTAGGTGGGCAACGACCGTTTCAACCAGTGCCTAAATCTGTTTTCCTTACCTAAAACGAAGCAGATCGAATCCAGGATATTAGATTTTCCCGAGCCATTCAGTCCTGTAATGGCGTTGAACGACGAATCAAAGTCCGTGATCTCCGTCTTCGTCGCGTACGACTTAAAACCATCGAGTATAATCTTTGTTATGTGCATCTCGTTTTTGGAACCATCCGGATGGCTGTTAACCTTCTAACACCACCTTCCAGCGGACTCTGCTAGCGACGCAGACCAACAACACAAAATAATGCAGCGTCGATTTACTGACAAGAAATAAGAAAACGCCGGACAGGGACACGCACCACGCAAAACTTGCACCGAAACACAAAACGAGAAAATTCGAACACTAAATTTTCATTTAAATCCAGTATTCGACCAGGGCGCCAGTAACCGTTCGATTTTCGAACCGCCAAGACGAACATTTGTTTACGTTGCTTCGCCTACGTCTGTTTACAAGTTAGAACGGTCTGCTTTTTTCGTCTGCAGTACATTGCGAACCCGCTCAGGAATGCTAAATATAACCCGCTAAATATACTAATAGCGCAGAGTGTCATGGTGAAACTCCAGACATTTTTCCTTTCGGGAATATATAAATAGTAAATCTGCAGCTATTCAAAGAGTGTATATCGACCCAGGATGCTAAAGGTGAACGTCTTGAATATCATGAACGGATACTGACAGAGAAGTACAATACGATTTGAGAAAGTCGAACCTCAAGCGGCATTATCTGGCTGAGAACACCTGCTACACATTCGTTATCTGCTGTGTCTATGATTTTTTTGGGTTTTAGTGATTTGACATAAAGTGAAATTACGGTTTGATACTTCAATTCTGAATCACGTGAATGTTCGTCTTTCGATCGTTTATATCGATTATTGGCTAATGTAATAAAACATTAGAAACATTTCTGCGGCAACACTAATAATACAGTAACGAACCCAGTAAAATCAGAGCTCAGTGTAGCACTCCATGTGATAGAGACAACTTTATTTAAAAAGTGATAACTTCGCGAGACTTGCTTGCATATAATGGCGCGCAACAACCCAGATTAACTTAGTCATTAACACATTGACGTTAATATAATTCCACCAGTCAATGAAAATATTTTGGAATACACACACATTATGGATAATAAAATACCGAATAATATCTTGAAAAACATTAAGGTGCGAGTTGAAGTTAGCCATAAAAGCCATAAAGAGCCATAAAAAGCGTAAGCTATATCTTTGTAATGTATAAAAAAAAGTCAGTTCCTAGAGTTGCGGCGGTACAACGCATCTCTACATATATGCTACCGCATATAAATCCCTGATCCATCGAAATACACGTACATTTAATAATCAAAATTTTTCAACACCTTCACCACGTAAATATGACACGATACATGATATGACTAACACTAATGATAGAATTCAACTTGTGTAAAAGGCGAATCGAAAGACGGTAGCACAGAAATAATATTTGGCTGGATCTGTTGTTATTCCTCCTCAGTAGTTTACAAAGTTTATAAGGAAACTTCGCTATAGTTCTCTGTAGATAACCCAGTTAGTCCCAAGTATTCCTTTGTCGAGCGAATTCGTACGCAGAGTATCATAAAAATTATCATGGAAGTATCTTATTATATATAGACAACCTATTTAGAAAACTTCCGTAAGAATCTCGCATGAACCTCTTTATAACCTTCTTTATATCGCAGTAATAAAAAATCTCCATCCTTAATCATGACAGTGATTTATATCGAATTACTTTAGCAGTCTTTTTCTTTGTGACTGGTGTATTTTTGGAGTATTCAACTCGATTATTAACAAATTATTGCTTAGTTAGCTTGTGTGTTTTGGGCAGTAAGGCCCAGCAAACTACAAAAACTAAATGACCGACTAGACTACGAACTAATGCTACTTAGTTGCATAAATTAATCGACAAAGGACTTTATCGTGCCCTTGACTGGCCATTCAATATTGATAAATCGTTTTTCCGATTTAACTTTGTACTGCAGGGTCTTCTAAACGATTCTGGGCATCGTGCAACAATGGATTCTTGGACCTCAAACCCGAAGGTTCAAACAAAACGTGCCGACTTGGTTAAAAAGAAAATTCAAAAATTAATTTCTGACGGTCAGTATATGTAGGTATGCATCTCTTTTTGGCATTGGATTATTTGGACATGACAAAGTTTCTGTACAATTTTGTTCATGCATCTAAATTTATTACTCACTTATGCGACGTTTTCCGCATGGTTAGGCCCATCGCTTCTTCAAGTGGTCAGCGACTTTGACGGTACTTTGTCACGATCACACTTTGAAGGCCGGACAATCAAAAGTTCGTTTTGTGTCGTCGAAAATGATCCTCGGGTAATTTCGGTAAGGCTTATTATGTAACTGTTCAGTTGCAGCTTGGAAGTTGTACAGCATTCGTGTGCGTTTCGACATACACCGCAAAGGTAACCAGTAGAACTAAATACAAAAAATATCGATATTCTGAGCGGAATCATAAACGAAAATGTAATGTATTTTTTATAATATTTTTGTTCATTTGAAGAAACAAATAACATCTCACACCCTTCTATGTTTGCTTTGTCTCTTCATAACCCTTCATGAAAGATCTTGTCAGCGGAAGCACTTGAGGCTTACCGCCTAATGAACGAAAAATATGTCGCGATCGAGGTGGATCCGAGTCTGACTCGCGAGGAGAAGTTTCCGCACATGGTCAAATGGTAAATATTCGCTGACAGTTGTTGACATAGCGTCAAACCATATACTCTTTGAAATATGGAGTTACTTCGATGATGAATTTAGGTAAAACAACACTTTGAATGGATGGAAAAAATGTTTCTCAGACAGCTATCCCGCAAGAATAAAAGTGACACCCATTGGTTGGCTATTGTCATTCTATTAAATGCATCTCGCTTATCTCCCTTAACTAACTTGTACCATTCATTATAGTTCATTTTATACGGCATAAATAAAGTTAACTCTAGGACTCCTTGCAACGAACTCTTACTCATGGTGCATTTTCTTTATAGGTGGACCGACAGCTATGCCACCCTCGTGAAGGCAGGAATCCAGGATGAACACTTGCGGGATATTGCTCGACGGGGTGAGATCTTGCTGCGGTGTCGAACGCCTGATATGCTGAAACTATTAGAGGCAAACGATATACCGTGTCTGGTGTTTAGCGCCGGCATAGGCGAGATTGTCTCGTATACACTGACACATAATCAAGTTCTGTTATCAAATGTGAAAGTTATTTCCAACTATTTCAAGTTCACCGACACGGCGAACGGAACGAAAGCACAAGCGCCGGAGCAATTAGTACATACGTACAACAAAAACGCGGAACACCCTATTGCAAAGGAGTATTTTTCTAGGAAGGAGGTAAAGTATTAAATTTACTTGTTTCCAGTTTCAGTGGGTGACGATCGTGCGAAAATATACATGGATTACTAAACGTATTGCTATAAAGACACGTCTGAAGTTTTTTGGTTTAAAAGAAATTTTTCGATGTCAAGCATTTCGAAGACTAGTAAGAGGACCAAATCCGTTCTGATCAATCTTATTTGAAATAGACAAAATCGCTGCTGTATCGAGAGAACTGCATTGAGTAAACTCGATGCAAATAACATGTTCCTGGGCCAGTTATTCGGTTATCTCAAGTGAAATGGCTTTAGAGTAGGAGCAGGTAATTTTCATTAATAAAGTAGTTTTAATTCGTATTGTCCTACATTTCAGAGCAGTCCGTAAGGCCTGCATGTATAGTTCGGTTACTATGCATGCTCGTGACCACTAATATATACAGTGAAAATGTCTGTAAATGATTCAAATGCAGGTACAATTACGGAGAAACGTCATTTTGCTTGGAGACAACCTGGGCGACGCTCATATGATCGACCGAGCACCATTCATTGTTCAGGGGCCGTCAAATGGATGCCCCAACGAAGTTCAATTCAACGATATTCACGGGGGTTCCAGCAGTTATAGCACAGTGCTAAGAATTGGTTTTTTGAACAGCAAAATCGAGGATCGATTATCCAGTTTCCTAGAGCATTTTGACATAGTTCTTCTTGACGATCAGACGATGAACGTACCCTTTGAGATCTTCAAGGCCATTACTGCCGTATAAACAGCGATCTTCTGAACTTTGAGCGTTATCTGGAGTGCATGCATTTGATTTAAGGTTTGAAAATATCTTGAAGAATCTATTTTTTGAAGTCATTGTCCGATGCAAAAATTATTGATTATGCAGTATTTTAGATTATCTTACGGTGTGCAAATTAACATTGTAAATATGACTGAAGATAAAGAGGCCAAACAAAGGTTTTTGTATTTTAAAAGTAATACAAGTGTTATAATTGACCTCTGTAATAACTCCTACCTCGAAATGGAACTAGACGTTGATTATCAAAATAAAGTCCACGATAGACTGGTTTCCGGTTCATTTACGCGAAGTCATACATCCGGCTCGTTAATAATTTGTTAATTGAGGATCTTTTTTAGGTTGGGGTCGGAGATCAGCCAAAACGGTCGTCATAAGATGGTTATGAGTTTATTAATCTAGAGTAATCACCTTGCTTTGTATATCTTGTCTGCATTGACTGAATTGATCAAGATATATCGATCATTTCATAAATAGAAAAGAAAAGTATCCCGTTAAGGTTTAGTTCAGCTGCTAATTGTTGTAAAAAGTCGAAGGTATGCATGTATTGTCTTAGAGTCATGGCGTCTCTCGAGCATAAAATGCTGGCGCTAACATCATAGATATAACTATTGCTCAAGCCTGTTTTATTTAGTATTAATTTTTTTTTGTTTTTTGCATACGTCTGAATACGAGACGTGATAAGTCTCTAACTTAGCTATTCAGTTTTTTTTTCTTATAATTACTGTCGTACGGTATGTTGCATTACAAAATAAAAAAAAACTGTGAAGTGTTTAGTGTCAAGTTGACAATAATCAGTTTTTATTCATATCTCTCGGCCAGTTCAGTTTACCTACGTTAAAATATCTTGACGTTCTCTATTTTGAGATAGAATTCAGGGCGAACGGGAGGTAACTTTTTTACTTTTCAATCCTTTACTTTCAGTCCCTCATTTTGATCAGGTAACAGCCTCGATACTGTCACGTCTTCTTGGTATTGTCGTAGTTCTTTTGGCGGAACCGATCGTTGATATTCTTGCTAGAACTTCTTGCCACAGGGGAGGAGTTGGAATTATATGACGGCTAGTGCCATCTATACCAGAGTATCAATTTGAATTTACTGCTCTGCTTGATCAAGCAAGAACTGATATCAGTGTTCATCATTCGTGGTCAGTTATTATACAAACTAGCATACCGACTTGCATTTGCCTATTGAATGAACATTAAATGTTAACGATATAGTCCTTTAAAACGAATACTTGACATGAATTCCTTGAATTTGACTTGTTCGAGACAGTTTTAAAAATACTAAAGAAATTAAAATAGAAACCTCATAAGATAAATCAGACCAAAGCAAACCACTAATCTTACTTCATAGTAACTTAGCCTATATATAAAATTATAGAGTTAGGAAGCAGTATTGTTTTGGAATCATTGATATCATTTTTACGTTTATTAATCATTTATGATCCACTACAAAGAAATAATCCGCACAATTTACCAGTCTACTCAATTTTTCGCCAAACACCACTTGCCATTGAAAAAAAAATGGCGCTATTTTCTCAAATAATTTGAAAACTTAAAAAGGCGCTTCCGCAGCGTTCCTAAAAGTGCGGGGTAGGTAGCTTTAGGGAGAGAGCCGTGTTACACGCGATTACGAAGCCATGATAGTCAGACGAACCATGTACATCATCATGAAACAACAGAATGAGAAAGAGCTTTGGCTTACTGGGCCCGAATAAACCCAATAAGTGAGCACAGGCGATCACAACAGCTGTGAACATTTACGTGGTGTGGCTGCTGCCTGGGGTAAACAACAGCAGGTCTCGTCGTCTACTGCGCAGTTGTTTGCACGATTGTTTTGCGGACATGATAGGGCATCAGGCAGAATAAAAATAAAGCAGGAGCGTTTTCCACAGAAAATACGCAACAGTGGTGCATCGGAGTTTCTCGATTTGTGTTGTGCAATCGTAAGAATGCTGAGGGCATCATACGATGAAATGATTTGCTACTAGTCGATATTGTGTCGTCAACAAGCTTGCGGTTGTTCCATCTGTGTAAGCTTAGTGCGGGTAGAAAGACAAGTGTGATTGAATCAGCGCGAAGACTTTTGCGTCTTTGTGAGGCGACATGATGGAGATCCAATCGAAAGAAGATTTGTTTGTCACGCTCGATGACTATGCCATGCAGGTTAGACTTCTTGACAAGGCCCGATCAAAACAATTAGCGTTGAGGCTGATCTTGTTGGCGGGGTCTGGGAGTTCTTATTCTGAGCAGCTTATTCATCGATGGCAGTTACTGGTGGATGCAATATTAGCTTTTGGGCGTGGGTCGTGAATGTCACGAGGGTTAAAGAACGAACACCAATTCTAGATCACCACTAATGCATTTGTAGGTTGTCATACATAGCGTTCACCCGAGCTGACAGTAGCAGAATTGGCTCACAATCGCACTTTATGCGGGTGTACCTAGTTCAGCTAGTGATAACTAGCTTTGAGTCAACCATGAAAATTGAACTCACAGCAAAAGGAGCCCAAATAATACATTTCTACATAAGTCACATAAGGTGAGCATGCTAGTATGTCCAAATGTCATCATAACATGCTGTACCGTTCAGCGTGCGGAATGGTATAGACTTTCGGTGCGAAGAATGCACACGCGCTATTATAGGTGGTCTTTACTTCTTAGTTTCTTTATCTGTGTGCTATGAAGACTACCCTTTCAAACGGCACGGAAAAAACGTTTGCCCTCATTTTTCTTTTTCCTTTTTCTATTGCGGCGTGTATCATATAAAAACTAAAGAAAGTAAAATTTTGACGCAATGCGGCAATAGTAATTATTGGTAAGCGCAACCAAAACCCCAGTTGCAGAGCTTCCGTTAATGGCAGTTAAGATTCTGTCACATTTATGAAAGAAAGCGTCAGACAATATGGGTACATTATATTCAGGATATATAATATATATATAAATATATATATTAGATACCAAAAAGCGCGACTTTTCTTGACACTTGCAACGAAATTTCAGGAAATCTTTCGTCTAGATAGTCCATAAAAATTTAAACATAGCTTGAAAACATTCAGTTTTCTCTTCATATCATTCATATTTAGATTACGATATTTAAATTATATTACGAAGTAATATTTATTAAATGTATAACTTTTCCTCGTACTGCGAAGGCCTTATCGTTTTGGTCAATATGCTGCTGATAACGGCGGGCTATTCGTTTATAATCTTCAACAAAAATTTAATTTGATGTAGTGACGCATTCTTGCTAAACTCCAGCTTTTAAATCTCTCAGTGTCCCCGGTTTTATGGTGCAGAGTTTGTTATATCTACAAAAAAGGTCCATTGGCATCAGGTCTAAGACACAAGCAGGGCAACCTATGAAATATTTACGTCAAAACCATGGGTTCAGAAGAGAATTTTCAAGAAAAATGTATAAGCTATCGCGTTGTTGGAAATAAGATTTGCAGTTTTTAATAATAGTTTCCTGAAGAATGCGTGATAAAAGAAATTTTTGCAATAAACATAAGTAAATGGCATTAGTTACAGTACCGTCAACAAAGGACGATCGAAATGAATAAAAGTGTACACGTTTTTTCAGACACCTTGGATGTATAGACATATTTACGTTTGTCCAGGTAGTCTCGGAAACTGCAAGATTTCGATCAATTTTAATTAGTAAGTTTCGCCTTGCAGAAAAACTCAGTCCTAAGAACCCCATGTTCGGAAAAACTTTTTTTGTTTTTACAATGGGGATGTGGATGTCCGGTTTACACCTTATGAGAGTGTGGCAAGCAAAGCTGCAGCATTTCATTATTAATATCAAATAGGCGTAATGGTTGAGGCTATTTGATTTCGGTACTACCCGAATGTTTGGTTGTGTCATTGTTAAAAAAAGATGGTACTGTAGTTTTATTAAGTAACGAAACGTGCAACAATTTTTAACTTATTTTTTACCAATCGTATTATTCGTGTTTTTCTATGCCTTTCGCTTTTCTGCATTGTCCTTCTCACTTTCAGGATGATGAACGTGATCTGGACTTCAGTCCTGGTGCTCAGAAGCGTACACGGCGTAACACTCGAAAAGGGAGCGCTGGATCGGTTGTACCGCTATCGACGTCCCTGCCAGCATCATGGATGCACTGCTCAGCGCCCGGCAAGGGTGCCGAAATGAAGGTACGCCTCGGGGGCCGTTTAGAAGACACCACACTGACCCACATGGCCAATCCAGACATGGCCAGTTCACTGGGTTCTCCGGACAGCACAGCAAGCACAGAATCACCCCAACAGCAGGCAGGCATCGCGCCAGCTCCCTACGTAAGTGGAGTCCATGGTAGCCCCCAGTCATGGATCAAGATCTCGAGAGTTGAACGTCGTGTATCAACAGTCGAAGAACGAACAACTTGAAATTTACTCTCTGACTGATGAAACTTGATTGAAGAGGAATAAAAACCCAATCGATGAAACGATGAAACTCAATTCAACCCACGTCTATTGGAACAATCATATCGTGAATAATATTGAGATAACAGTGACGACAGAAGCATCTCGTAAGGGACTAAACTGCTTGCTGAATAATCCCGTTACTCAATGGCAAATTAAAAGGGGAAAAATCGATACTGCCTGCTATTTATTTTGTTGATGGTGATGATGATAGTCGCGACAGAAAACCCCGGAGACATCATTGATTCAACCTCTTAGCCTACAATTAGTGTCAAAGATTTTTTTTTTACTATTCTTTCAAGGCACTTACGGCTGAGCAGTTTGAATGAGGAAAAGTATCAGCGGACGTTTAGAGTACCCGCTGAAGCGTCTCATTCGTGCTTTGCTTTGTTGCTTTTCATTCCTACTGCTTTGATGGAAACAATTTAATCACCGCACGTGTGCTCGGGACTACCTAAACGTCTTTGGTTACTGGCTTATGACGATAGGAAATCGTATATAACGTTAGCTAGTTCATGTTGAGTTCGTTCCTCTCCATGCTATCGATGCTGACGGAAGTAGAGGTCGCCTCTAATTCTACTGAAGTATTTTTGGAAAAAACCTGTCTCCGCATACATACTTCATGTATATAAACCTGGCATATATCAAAAAGGACGCAGTTGACGTGTTGAGCTCCATCGCATCGAAAGAATACGGAATAGATTTCGATTTCGTAATTAAGCAAAAGTACAACCGACAACGTATATTCTTGTCTAATTAGAAGATTCTTTGTGTGCGGTTTTTCCATCAAGCGGTTCTCGTGGCCGTCAAGTCAAGCCAGGTCCTCGTGATTCACTCAGCTCGTCTTGTCCAGCCGCCTGCTCTCAGGAAGCCCTCGCTGTATTCAGTCTTACTGTTTAAATGTCATTGCTTCAACTCTTAGAAGCTTTCACAAGTCCATATCAAATTCAATACAAGTGGAATTTGTCGAAGTATGATAGTAATGTTCGAATAAAAGGGATACTTAGCGTACACAGATGCATATATGGCAATAGGAGAAACGTTTAATGTCGTATAGTATCGACTGCTTTCTGCTTGGTTTCATGCTTCATGCACTCAATGCGCAGATGAGTGAAACCATGTTGGTCTTATTTATGCAAGGCACTATATTTGGTATGGTTGATGTAAAAAACAAACAAGATGCAAATTATACAGCTATCCAAGATTCTATTCAAAACCTTGATTCCTGGTAACAAGTAAAGCTGGGATTGTGCATTTCAAATACTGAACTAAATAATTTTGTTAGTTAGTTGTTGTTAAACGAACTTCAGGTTTTTTTTCGCGAGCCTCACTCTGAATTAGCTTTTAATATGACCGTAGTATAGAAACGGGCATCTTTAAAATATACATATTTATCCCGTAGATGTGGCTGTGCTTTTCGCAGTGATGATTTTGCTCTTGAGGACTACCCAAAGTTATACAAATATGTATAAACAAAAGAAATTTACGATCAGATTGACTAGATATATCTATTCAAATATGTTAATACCTTATCAGTCATAATAAATTTATAAATGGGTAGAGTCTTCGTATGAGCTGTATGTTCGGCAAAATTAATTACAAAAATAATTACGCGGTCGTAGTTGATGGATTTTGTAGTAGTTGGATTTTCGGTTTTGTGTTGGTATATACCATCCCTAGTTAAAAACTATAGCGACTCGTGTGGTTTGGACACAATTTTCTCATCAACTTCCTTTCGAAACAAATCCAGCCTTCTAGCTGCTATGTAAATAGCACAAAACCAATTTTTGATAAAAATTTTGATGTTTTAGAGCCGCTAACCCTAAACTATTAAATGTTTTAGTTTACATTGATCAACGCCTCGCTTGCTTGGACGAGTATAACGAGCATAGAGTATTTTTCGTGCGGTTCTATTTCGTTAGTTTTTGACCGATTTTTTCTACCCTTTGATAGTGTTCTCATGATTTTATCATTTTTCATATGAATTTCGAAAGGAAACTCGGTGTTTGTTGAGAATCTCTTTGAAATAGATAGAATGTTCGTTATTATAGACTTGAGCGTGCAATATCTTATGATGTCCTTTTATGTTGTGTTTAAGCGACTGTGTCACATTAGTGTTTCTAAAGGTTGCCTTTCTGCGATTGGGTGGTCGTATATCTACAGGTTCGTCTTGAAAGAAGTCGACAGAGTGCACGAGAATGCCGGGCCCGTAAAAAATTACGGTATCAATACCTCGAGGAACTCGTTAGTCATCGGGAAAAGGCAGTCCTTGCACTTCGAGAAGAGTTTAGTCGGGTTAGTTCAAGCATAGAACATTCAGATACTGCATTCGTTCAAAATTGTAATTTCATTGCTGCTTACATAGCTTGTATTGTAATTCAGAAGGGCACATTTTATTCCTTTATTCCAAAGGATTTTCAGTTTGATAGAGGGATAATGCTTATATTATGATAGCATAAGATATCGGTTCGTTTTTAGCGAGTATAAGACTAATCCATAATTGTAACATACATCTTTAAATGACCACATCAAATACAAGATCAGAAAAGTTAAGCGATTTATAGAATATTCAATCAAAAGGGTGTATTGTACAAGGCATAATTCTAGACCTAAATGACTCTATAAATCACATGAATTATAACGCTAGTAATTGAGTTACTTGCATAAAAGCCTAGGGAAATTCTTAGGACAATTTTTATGCAGCCAGGATAATTCAGCTTTTTTGTCGGTATTCCTTTGTAGAACATAAAACCTTCTAGCTGCCATGTAAATAATACATAACCAGAGTATAAGAAGATTCTAATACTTCATGACGTGTTTTCATAGAGTACGTTTAATTAGCACTGTACCTGTTTTTATAGGTGAAGTTTTTTCAGTTTAAAATGTTATTGTGCGGCTACAACAAAGTAAATTTGTTAGTTTTTTAACCTACCTAATACAGATTAGCATAGTTTGTTTCTGTACGCTGCTGCGTCTTCCCAGCGCGTGCCAAGAAAAACCTAGGCAGATTCCTAAAAAAGCCTCGCACAATCATTATAAAACGCGTAAATCAGAAAAAACCGTATCAATTTGAAATATGAGTTTTTGTTTTAGCTAGAAGTAGCATTGATAAAAGTGTTTTTTGTTTCAACAGTGACGTAAACATTTTTTTTAAATGGGACTTCTCTTTTGTTCCAGTATGTGTCGTTGTTCCAGGAGATCGATAATGGCAAAATGCCACCCGACCTTGAGCTGATGCTCAAAGACCCATTAGATTATGCGTGGCGAGAATACGCTCGAAAGGGTCCGTCTTGTGACTCAAAAAAGGCCATACAACAGTTGGGTGGGGGTGGAGGTCCAAGCCACACCTAACTGAATTCAGCTGCTAATTCCTTTCGTCGCCCTAGCATCGGCTGCCTGTTCAAGCGACATGTACACAGAAATTATGTCTTCATTAACACGAGTTTTTACATTCACGATCATTTTGTGCGGACAAAAATGTCTAAATTTATTTTAAACACACATTTCTCAAACATGTCTATAAGATAAGCGTTGATTTTTCGTAGTTTTTTTTTTTCGTGTCGAATCTAAAACACACGATGTTTCATTTTGAAATGGCATTAAGGTGCAGGCAGATCTTGCCTTTGTTTATTTGCTCTGAAGGCAGCGCATATTCAAGTTCAACGACAATGAAGAAGAAATGGAATGCGCGCGCGGCTATATTGTGGGCCCTTATTTTTTGTTATTTTATATGATCATTAATTGTAAGGAAAAGACAGTTGTGACTTGTCGCGTCCTATGCGGTTGTTGGTGTTGGGTACGCGTGTTTCAGGCATTATAGGTAAAGGGTAAGTAGGTTTTGCAAAGAACGGAGCATACGAAAGAGTTAATACCAATGTTGATGCCCTTGTAGATTTCGATGCAGAACGGACAACTCGTTGCCACGTTGACCAAATCTGTGGTAATGCACAGAGAATCGTAGGTCTCAAGAAATGTTTGAGATTGATTTTATTCCTTTTTGTTTGCTGGTAATCTATTCTATGTTAAGCTGTATATCTAATGTCCCGATAAAAATACAGTATTGTATTCATTCTGCACTACTTATCATTTTCTAAGCTGCAGAAGATTCTCTAAAACAAATGCTAGTGAAAATAAAAATGGTACCTCGAACAATACGCCCAAAAGCTACGGTTCTGTTGATGCGATCATGTGATCTACATTACACAGTTTAGGGAAATACTGTTAAACGAAGCATAACGAATAAACGACGTTAAGGTCCGCTGATGCTTCTGACAGTTGAGTGGCAAATTGTTTCTTGAATATATAGGACAAGGCCAAGGTTCCGGTAGTGAACCGATTGTACATAGGGAAAATAAAAATTGATGTCCTTGTTAAACGCAACTAAAATTTGCGTTGTTATTAAAGACAAAGTTAAAATAAATGCTTTTACATTTAAAAACATTTTCAAATACGCGCTATTTTTATCGATGACCTTCTGCTATCTTTCTGGTAACACCATAATACGATCACTGTGGAAATTCTGCGGTTTCTGGGTGAAAAATTATGACAAGTGATTCTGCCATGCTTTCATCAACATTATTATGAATTTCTTCAAAGAGCGAAACAAATGTCGAATGGTGAAGACCCGTGGTATAACAACGAATTGCAATTTTGCTTTCAATTCTTCTCTGTTGAGCGGTTAAAGATGTAAGTCGTCTAGCGTTCTCACGATGAAAGGCCACGCGTTATTTGTCAACTAGTTCTAGTCGTTTTATTTCTAACAACTTGTTGTAGTCTTGTGAACTGTTAAGAGAAAGTTAAATCGATTGCTTTGGCAGGCGACAGCAACTCGTAATGCACGACTTCTTTCGAATCCCATTAAACACGCAGCATGATCTTTTTTTGAGTCAATCTGGGCTTCGCCACAGATTAGAGAGTACATTTTTTTCAGTTGTATGTAATTGTCGAATATGATCCGCTTTCTATCCCTTGTAATCAGGAAGGATTCGATTTCGTTACGTTTCCGTAGAGCTTCGTTGCTGGGAACAAAATCGAGTAAATTATTTAGCGTGAATTCGTATAGTATTTCAAGATGGAGCTTTTTTTTGTGGCCTGATTGCCTTCTACGGTTGGATGTTAAATTCTTTGGCGACACTATGGCTACCTACGTGTGGATTTTGCTTGACTTTCACAGCAATAATTTCATCAGCTTCCTGGTCAACTACCGCGAGAAACATCTTTTTTAAAAAAATTTCACACGGCTTAAATAACCTGAGATGTATATGATTTGAAAGCCATCTAGCTAGAAAAACTATCAACATTTTTCCTGTACCTTGTACTTCTGTATTTAAGATAAAGTGTTGTTCTTGACAAACTCGTGTGCCTCAAGTGTTTTGAACTTTGTACTCTGCAATTTCATTTGACTTCAATGAGAAGCCGAGAGGCGCGCTCTGCCTCTACAGTCTGATACTTGTATGACGGCTTAAATTGACTGTTTGTCATCTGACGTGGTCTTTGACTTGTATTGCTTTTCGTATCATTTAAAATTGCTCCATAACCTCGCTTTCAGATTCACATAAGTTCGTGGGCGTGTCACTAGAAAAAGAAAAGGGCAAATCGATTACAATGTTTATTAATCTCCGACTAAAGCCCAAATTCGCAGGGCTTCTGCTACTTTTCAAAAGCTGAACAAACGCAAAGTCGCTAGTGACATACATAGAAAAGCATGTCTTTCAAACCACATGCAGGACGTACATGAGAAATCCTGAAGCTCAAGTGGAGATTGCTAAAAGAGCCCAGTATGAAGCGGAGTAAAAGCACCGGGCTCTGTTGGAGCAGTACGCATCAATTGAATAGGATATTTCTTTAACGGACAATAACGCACACTTCAGGAAACTGCTCAATAGCGTTCAGGTATACTTCAATAGAAAAAGTATAAGGAGGGTTCATAAAATATCTAGTTGCAGAGATAGACCAGCGAAAAAGTTGACGTCTATGGGCCAGGACCTCTTATGATGGTTTATTTTGACCTCAGGGTCATTAGAACATTCCAAAATATGTCAACGCTATTAGTAGTGTCCCGACGTAGCTACTCTGCTGCGCCTATTAATCAGTCTCTAGCAATTAGTGTGTCTTTGTCTCGGGAAAGCGCAGACATGAGCCCCCCAATCCGGACATGGATAATAAGAAACCTGGAATTAAAGCCTATTTCACTCATTTATCAATACAACGAATCTGAGGTGATGCATGTTTTAAATACAACATTAGTAAACTAAGTAGAATTTCGAGTCATCGTTGGCTGCCAAGCAATTAATAGTGGGGCACGTTTTATTTATATATATATATATATATATAACGTTACTGTATTGTTATACAGCTTATATTTGTGCGCAATAGCACCAGCAACACATATATATAACATTTGGGTGAATAAACAAATTATATGTAAATGTGTGTGATGAGGTTGGGATATGAGATCAAGCTACGAAAATGAATACAGACATTATTATTATTACAGTAATCGAAAGAGAGCACGAACTACTACATTCATGTTTACCTCTGAGCTAAGGCTTTTAATAGATTATCAACTCTTAGCAACATCGTGGGAAATACTCGCACAGTGAATTCTGAGGAAGTTGATTTTTGGGATGTCTACTCTGACGGCATACCGCTTTGCCAGGTTCAGCACGTATATGGACTGGAGGGCTCTCATTTTGTCAATCTTCATTCGCAAAAGACTGTCTACAATGCTCGTTCGGTTTTTAACCTTTAACCAGAATTATTTCCATTAATCCGGTAGGTGTTTGTTAAATAATGCCCTAGCAGTTTCTTTTGCGTAAAAAGTAGAATACACTCACATATTTTACAGTTCCAGCGAAGCTGTTATTTTCGATAGAACAATGGAGCTTTATGATAATAGGATCTGTTGTCAAGGCGGCGTCGCCAATTCGAATAGAATGTCCAGGAAAATCCTATGACGTTCTAAAGCGTGCGCAAGGGACGAAAAACATATAAAAACTGGACCCGGTTAAAAAAGGAAAATTAAATTGGAACTTGACCGAAGGCTAAAGTGCTGTTGTGGTGAAGAGTGTCTCTAGATAATTTAAAAAATATATATATATTTTTTTTTCGTACCCAGCTACTAATTTTGATGCGAACAGGTTTTTATCGAAAAAAAATCTACACTTTATTTAGTCTTTTAGTTATCCTCTCTACCTAAACAAAGAAACATACGGGATCTATCTACCATGGCGTTGTCAATCACTCAACTCGTGACTAGTTCTCCCTTCTTTTCGCTCGTGCTGTAGATATATTCGTTCCCTTTCTTAAGGGAAAGGTAAGCGTCCCTGTGGCGTTTTGGCAACCTCTCTACTTCTTCAAACATGGTCTTTGTCAATGAACTTTGCAAGCTCCTCCCTAACGAACAGCGGAACTGTGCCAATTCACTTCGCCAGTATTGGACCCGGCCCGTGTGTAGAATTAAAACGGAGACGACAGAGGATAGTAACCCCTCATGACGTGGCTTATTTTGCTACATTTTTGCTACTAATCTATTTCTACTATTTATACATGAAGTGTCTATCGTAGTTTTTAACTGACCGTCTATGTTGGAGGACAAAGTAACAATAAAACAAAAACTACGAAGCCGCATGTTATTTTACTGACGAATTTCTATAGTATGTGATCGTGCAAAAATATCTTCCTTATGATATATAACCTGCATGAATGAAAAACGTAATTTTTACATTTTGCTTCGTGAGCCGGAAATCCATTTTCGTCTGTGCGTGGAAGTTATAAAAGTTCGACGCAACGTTATAAAACCAATGAATTGCTTTTGTGAAAATTAACGAACGTTAAAGTGACTCGTGAAGTTTGCGGAGAACTGGACGAGATCAGCATATCATTCAATTCCTCGTTTGGCTGTCCGAATCAAAGAGGCCAAAACAAGACGTCAAGCCAAGTGAGATAGGTAAACATCGTCGGCGCAAGTGGCGCGTGTTTCAAACACCGAAAGAGCAATGTCAGCGCAACAGTCGCCTGTTTACAACCGGCTGAAGATGGCTGCTGTGGATTCAGCTTTTTTCCTCATTCAGGTAAAACAGAAGAAGAATGAAGTTAATTCAAGTGAGTTTGCTCGACCAAACTTGTAGGTTTCGAATTTAAGTGAACTTGTGTTCTGTCCTCGAAGCTAATAATAGTAACGCGACTGAAAAGAAATCACAACATCTTTGGACTATAAATCTAAAAATGTTCCAAAGAATAATGAAATTCCTGTGAACTCAAGTCGTGTAAACGCGCGATGTTTATAGTATCGCAAAAGCAAGCGGCGGTATCTAGATATAGTGTACAAAGGGCACAAGTGATATAGTGTATTGGCTTGATTTACCTATGAGGTAACAGTTGTACTTGTTTCTGTGATTGTATATTCACTCGAGCAATGTAGGCCAAAGAGGGTCTACATGCAGGATATATCCTGTCACTTTCACTGTTCAATACATAGATTCGTTGTAACTTGCTATTAACAACATGATACAACCTGTTTTCCCATGAAACTTAGGGAACAGGCGGTGAGGTTTAAAACCGGCCTCAGACACACAGTTCGTTTCGTGGTAATCGAAGGAATCGACACTTGGGAGCAATGCTTACCTAAGACAAACACTCAATTCAAAACATTTATCCTCACTGCTAGCTAATCTTCACATATTCAGTGTGGAAGATGGAAAGCAGATTAGTATTCTTCAGTTGCTAATCGCTAACGAGATGATTATAGTAGCGGTACTAACTCAAAATTGTTGTTTTAAGGTACCTACAAATTTGTAAATAATAAAATATTTTTGAATGTTCATAATGATCGTTTCAAAGCGATGCTGTTTGCGCAACTACGTCGTATATTGTTGTGTCATTGTATTTATTCGTTGTGCATTATGGCAAAAGGCGCGATTTACGTTTAATAAAGATAAACAAACGCCTAGTTCTAGAACTCTGTTCGCTAACATTTTACATAAATTGAAAGTTGGCGTCTTGCTTCAAAACGGACCACTGCTTTTTGAAAATATTTACCATCATTATGCACACGACCTGAACTTATGTAGTAATTTCCTTTTATTTTGATGCGAAATGAACTGATACAATTGATTATGTGAGTCGGGCGTAAAGGACTACAATTTATGTTTATATACATTTAAACAATGTGAATTCAAGTTGGACATGTTGAAGTCACTGTTTTAATGCAATCCTAGTGGTGTTTTATTGTTTATTGGTCATCGCTTTAGTGACAAATTACGTATACACTTGAACCTAAATTATTTTTTTCAACAACTAACTTTTTGTTAACCAGCTACTAAGCCACGTTTGGGAAATAATATCAATAGCTCTATTTAATATTTTGACTAAATTTTAGGATAACGGTTACTAACTATATAATATCGTTCATAAAGGGTGAACGCTAAAAAATAGTGTTTCAACTCGGCAGCTGTTATTAAGTTTAACTGCCTTTAAAGGACACCAGAATGATCAATTATTAAGGAGGGCATATCAGTTTTGCAAGCTGGCGATAAGTGCAAAAAGTCGTTACATTGTAACTGAAAAGGATGGAAAAAATTGATAATTATACGTCTTCCATGAGCGAATCAGTGCCCCGGATCCATAGACCCGGTCCTTTAAACATCACTAATCGGTTGCAGTACGTCCTTTGCCTTCCTGTGTATTGGCATTTAATGTCTATCTTCGAGGTGTCGTATGCTTATTTCTAATATAACTCGCATTAAAAATATGCCGTTTGCGCATCTTATCTTTATTAAAAAATAAGGCTTCATAATTGGCATTCGAAGACATGCCCTAGGCTATTGTGAAAGCGTTACCTTTGCCTTTTATTGCTGAATATTTGGCAAAGTAACGGCTCACGTATTTCGTTGAAATGCTGTACAAGGATTTTTGATCCTAGTTTTATACTAGACCATAGTACGCTCATTGAAGCTATTTAAACTTGGGTAGAGAAATGAGGTAAAAAAAAGGAGCATTTCTAGTTTCCTAAGTAGCGAAAAGTACCGTGTTTTTGTCAATGTGCTATTTGTGTCTAGAAATTCAAAATAAAAGTTCAAAAAAAAGAAAAACATTCAAAAATACTTTAGTGCTCCAAAGACCAAAGTAGACTAAGAATATTTTTTAAGTTTATAATACTGGGTTACCCGTAAAAGCACTACCTGAAACAAAAAATAGCTAAATCGAATGTAAAGATAATCAAGAAAGGAAAGCCATGTTACATATAGAAACAACGACGCGATGAAACACGGTAAATTGGAAACGGTTGCTTTACGTACGTTGTTTAAGCTGTTAGGTTTTTACAGCAGACGGCTAACTCATTCATGCACAAAATGGAATGTATTCGCGGTAGAGTTTAGACCCAGATTAGGATGTGTCTTCAAGTTTAGTTCGAAACACGTTATCCTCTGCGCTATTACGGATACAAATTGATAAGAGTTAAAGGTAATCTACTGGTGGTACGGTTCCGGGAGTCCCGTAATAGAGAGTACTAAAAGTTGCAGGAGGCGCATACAATGCAAGGATGAGCGAGATACGCGATCGTGAAGAGTTACGTTGCTTATGGATGTCATTGAAGAACTGTGCAAGCCAGGCCAGATGCAAATTTAGAGGAAACTTCGCATTTTCACCTTATTCGCTTGCTCCGACTATAATGAAGTAATCACGAAAATCTGTGAAGAAACTCATACTGATGACATGTAGTTCACCGCTTATTTTTATCGCAAAATATTATACCTATAACACACCTATATAGGACTGACTGAATCATATACTTATTATATACTATTATTTATTATTGTACATATATTATTGTAATACACACATATATGTATTTCAATTCGAGTGTGGAGCGGGACTGACAGGTTAAAAATAATTGCAAAAAAATGTCTCCCACTAATGAAATCAGCTAAGTAGACTTATTGATAGGTATGGCTACTGCTTTTTGATTTCACCCGGGAATAACTACTGAATGCAGATGTAGCAAAGGTTCCACAAGTACGCTGCGACGAAAGACCGGCAAGAATATCAGGGTATTTCACAATAGCAAAAACTACCGTCTTTAAAAAAAATCCATCAGCATCCTTTGCTGACTAGATCTATAGGATGGAATAAACGTCAAACTTTCTTTGATAAGAAAAAAATGTATCGAGATTTTAAAAATGGAAGTACCTAGACGAATCTAATAGTGTCTTGAGTTTCCTACAAAACATGTTTGCACATCTTGTCCCAATTAGCGAGGTAAATCCCAAAAGCTAGTGTTGGTGTTTATTGTAGTTTATTATAACCAACAATTTATACCTAATAATACCTAACACCTTCTTGACGTACTTTTTTAACAAATGTTTCGAGTTTTACTAAGCATCACTTGAGATAACTGGATAACACGATCGATATGTATCGTCAGGTCGACAACATTAATTCGGCTGTTAGTCTAAATGAAGGCAGCTCATAGCCTATATTGTTGGATTTGTAGATCTTACTAAGTTTTACATTGTATAAATAAAACATATCAATTTCCCAAGTTAACAAGATTCTACACAAATTTCTACATTTATAAAGCTGTTTTTCTGCAAACTGCTGTCACGGCCTCTGTTCGAGTTCGTAGCGAAACGCTTTTCGCTGTTGGCTGAAATGCAACATGCGTCGCAGCTTTAATGACACTTTCGAATGGACGACATAATCGCGCAGTGTCCGCCAACAGTATGCTAAATGTTGGCGGAAACCAGAACAATGCGCCTTGTATCATCTAACCGTACGATACTTTCCTCGTCGGTCCGATCTTCACCAACTCCTTTTTTTGATGATGATTAATGATATATGACTGCAAGTAGAGAGAGTAAAGAAACATTGTTAGTACTGACTACTCGACTTTGCGACGACGATTGCGAAGATTATCTAAAGCGCTAATCATTATTAGGCTACTTCAACTTCATCCTTATAATAGTGCAGTGCTGAAACATTTATTTACTTAAAGACACGGAAAGTAGCTCAACCTCTCAGACTACATGGAATATGCGTCAAATTGCACACATGTCACTAAATATACATTGAAGTAAAATCGATAAAATAATCAATAACTTGTGAAAATAATCAATGACCTTCACGCATCTTTATCTATAACAAAAGTAAAGGGTTTTATTTTTCTACTAATTACTATGAAACCACAGCTGTCAAGCATTTACGAGCTAATCAACCAGTATTCTATTAAGGGTTGACCGTTTGTCACTTCCTTTAAGTTTGCACCTTCACGATAGACACTAGTAAGGGCAATTCAAAGTAGTTTTTTTTTAAATAACTTCTCCTCTAAGAACTAAAACAAAATTAACGTGCAGCTTTTCGATGTATTTTGCAAGCAGTTTTATTTTCTTGTTTTTCTGTTTGCCTATCTACTTATAGTGTATTAGAAGTCGTTATTAAAACGTTATTAAAAAAAAAGTTATTAAAACGTACGTTTTATATTTCGAAACAGACTGCATATGAGGCCGTAGGCGACGTGTTTGATAGACGCCTTTTATTTGAGGTGGACACAATGTAATTATATAGCGCTTCGGATCGTATGAACTCGCCGTCTGCTATACGAATGCATGACAGTATAGCGTTGCTCTAATTCATGAAATTTTCTAGCCATATATTAATCTTTAAGCAAATCCTGCAAACGGAGCTTCAAGCGGCAATCTTGTAGGATTGTTCATTGTCATGTTGGCTAGACTCATTGATTGTAATAGGATATAAAATCCATCGTTCTTCGACATGCGGAAGGTCTCTATAAGCTTCGAAAATAGTATTCTATTAGCATCAGTCACTCCAACGACATATCCTACACAATTTATGTGTAAATAACTCTATTATTACTATTAGTCATTAATACCTTTTGTGACAAGTGCCAAATCTACATATGGGTTTTGTGATTACCATACCGCTATCGTTTTACTAAATACAGCGCTTGTCAACAAATTTGAAATCATCCACGTTTTTAAACTTAGCTGAGAAATCTGATATTAGCTTTACTCGCCCAGGTATGTTTTAAATTTTTGTCAAGAACTTTACTTCCCATGCATCTAAAGAATTTCTTCCATTACATCTTAATAAGCATTTATGCCGTGTTTTTTAGGAAATGGGAATCACATTCTCGCGTTATCGTAATTACTTGGCTTTGATTGGCCTAATCTACTGTAGCAAACTTGGATGCGCAGTCACTTCTCGTTTGTATGAGGCTCTTAAGGTTCACGTAGTAGCGCGGCTATGGAAAGCCGATCTGAAGAAATACGGCCAGTGGGCACGTGAGTATCCAACACTATCGACGGTTTCACCTAGCTCAGTTGTAGCAATTGTGCTTTATTACTTTGTGGATTTACGTTGTGTTATATTGTATGTCTGTCAACATATGCGGTTTGTCTGTAGGAGCGCAGTAGCAACGTGTTTGTCTGTTATGTTAAGTGGTTCAGCTTCGAAACCGGACCAAGACATTTCTTTCATGCTAGGTATAGCTAGCCATATAAAGCAATTCTCGACGGCAGCTCTGGATGTAGAACTCTAAACCTTGACTTAGGATTTTTTTTCTATCACGAAACTAATTGTTAATGTGGCCTATCCGATAAATAAAAAGTTTATTGCAATTGGGTTTTTCCCTTTGTTAATGATCCGTTTTAGTGGTGACGGGATGCACCGATGGCATAGGTCGCGAATACGCTCGCCAACTCGCCTCTCGGGGCCTGAATATTATTCTGCTTAGCAGAAACCAGGCCAAGCTTCAGGCCACGGCCAGTGAACTCGGTAAGGTATAGCTTGAAATTTAGTGTACAGTCTGATGCTCCTTTATCGTTATTGCTTGTACTTTAGCTTTAGTTGCAGTTTCTTGATTAAACTAAGGTTTGTACTGTATTATTACGATAATAATAATATATTCAATTTTTCACCCAAGTCAAGGAGACTGAACTGATACTTCATTACCTGTTCATAATTGCTTGTATTCCCTAAACTAGATTAAGCAGAAAAATAATACGTCTAAAAAGATCCCTAATATTCGTGTACCTTTTCCAGAACGTGACTATCAAGTACAAACCCACATTATCGTCGTGGACCTGTCCCAAGGTCGAGAGGTCTACGCCTCGATTGCAGAACAGCTCGGTAACAAGGAGGTTAGTAACCTAGTAGAATTATAATCAACTCAATTGCCACTACGTACTCTCTGGTAAACAGTACACATGTTCGAGGAGTCGACATCATTGAGTATTGCCAAAATGAACTAAAAGCTTCCTGTGCCAATGTGTCATTGCGGTATCGGTAAGAGCGAACAGGTTTGCTAATTTCCCGTTATGCAAGATTGGAGATTACTTCTGTATGCTCTCGTTTCATTCATAAAATGAGTCGCTCTTAAATACTATCAAACGACATTTTAAGCAATGAGAATAGCTGATGTTTTTTCACAAACAGCTGTTTCCATATTTATTGAACAAATGCATGTAAACGAATATGCATTACTGTGCATAAAGTCCTTCATGAGTGTTTATATAAAGGTTTTGTGTGAAAAAGAAGCGATCGCTGTTACCCAGACCTAGTCGTTTTAAATTTCAATTGAAAAGGTAAACAGCATTCTATGACTAATTTACTTTTGCCATCTTTTTTTAATTCTCATAGATCGGTATCCTAGTGAACAACGCCGGCGTCATGTACGATCAGCCGTCGCGATTCTGTAACGTGCCGGAGAAGAAACTCATCGAATCGGTGAATATCAACATGATGGCTGTTGTGATGTTAACCTATATCGTCTTACCTCAGATGCTCCAGAGAAAACGCGGCATCGTTATTAATCTCTCATCAATTTCGGGCTTCTACCCACTGCCATTGATGGCTGTGTACTCTGCATCAAAAGTGTTCGTGGATTGGTTCTCGATGGCGCTCGACGTTGAATACCGCTCGCAAGGTATCATTGTCCAATCCCTTATTCCGTCCTATGTCTCGACGAACCTTGTACGTTTCTCGAACTTCCTATCAAAGCCCTCGTTTATTGTGCCTGATGCAAAACGTTTCGTGAGTTCGGCGCTTGACACGATCACCTATTCGAAGAGAACGACCGGCTTCTGGTCTCATGGATTGCAGGTAATGATACGGCTCTGAAGTTTGTGTTTCCTCGTTGTTATTAATCGACTGAAAAACTGTCCGTACAATTACTTGTGAATTTTGAATGCAATTATGCGTTCAGTTTATCACTGAAATATTTGTGTTTTTTTGTTCCAGTATTGGGCTATGGAACACACTCCGCAGTGGGTATGGAATATAAATTCAAACCTGATGTTTCGCGCCATCGACTCTTCAAAGGAGAAAAAGTTTTAACTTACTTCCACAAAAAATCTTATTATTCATTTGTTATGATGTCCATAATTGCCAGTCTTAGAAAGATTCCCATTTACTCTATGCATCTAAAATGGCCCAACAAACGGCAAGATGTAGTTCTACAACATCAATAAAGACGACATCTTGGGCGTCAGCTCAATATACTATACGAAAACATCGCTTTATATCGACGAATGTGGTGATTGTCACTTTTCATGATCTAGGAGCGATCTTTTATAGATGACATTGGATTGTCATTATATTTCCATATACTCCATTTTATTTTGTGATAGATGCGGAAATCACTTTCATTCCAATTTAACGCGTTGCAAACACAATCAGCACGCCAAAAATTCATGAGCGACATATGAAGCAAAGAGTGGTGATATACTGAAAAGATGTTTGTTTTCGGAATAAACGGTGTCGTATTTAAAACCATGTAAAATATTGTGTCCTTCAGTCAATTAAACGAACGCAATATTGCAAGCAAGAGAAAACACGCTTAGCACATATTCATTGTTAAGATTATCTGGGGTGCTGTAAAAGTGACTTAAGTCCCAACAATGAATGCTATTAAAATTTTAGCATTTGTAAAAAGCGCGTGAGTCAAAGGCTTGGTGTTATTGAAGTTAGCTAGTTAGTGAATTTTATTTGACCAAATTTTAAACTCGCTTTAACAGACTCATTCACTAGCAAAATGTTGAATGCTACAAGATAGGCCTTCATTTAAGCAAACGCTGGAATCGTTTTAAGTTAGAGCGACGGGCAAAATTATAGGATGAGGTAATAGATCTCAATAAATTCAAGTAATCGGTGAGCCTTTGTTTGAAAAACACAAGAAGGACAAACTCCACACACTAAATCACCTACTGTTTTGAGTAAAACAAATTGCTGGAGAAAGTACAGTTGTATGCTTATTTAGTGCTTTAACTAAAAAAGTACCATTAACTTTCCAGCCATTTCGATAGGGTCGCTAGGGAAGTCTCATAGGCTTAGCTATACAAAAAATTTGTTCCTGCTATCTTATGGATACCTGTTGATATCTCAAAAGACTTCAAAGTCGAAGGTTGTGAGGCACTCCACGCCGCGCGGTCGACCTAGAAATTACTAGGTTCCTGCTTATTTCAGGCAAACAGTGTAATCAGACTGCTATGATGCATTTACAAAGAAATTTGGAACTAGCAAGCCCGTGGTCCACGAAAGAAATGACCGGGAGAGACACCGATGACAACATCTTTTTTTCTGTTCGATAGAAACAGCTTGTACGATTCTCCTTATCCGCGACTTTGATGAAGATAGTATATATTTCTACTATGTTACTACATTCTTTGAAACGATTTACGTTAAAGGTTGCTGTGTAATTGTATGATGAAATCCCGCATGTCCAGCTGGTATATAACCGTCGCTCATGATAAGACTCTCTACTTTTTCGTAAATACGCAAGACAGATTTTAGCTCGTCCACTCGATACAAAAGACGGCAAATGGGATAGTGAAACCTAACTGGATGACTACCAGCTACGTCGTACCGCATCGTATGCCAAGAAAATGTCAATATCAGTTATCTAGCCTTAGAAGGGCTAGGTGCCACACTCATATTCTTTTAACAGATTATTTACGCCGATACAACGTAGACAGACCAATCAAGTAGGTCCTTATACAGAATAACAGATTACTTAAGGTGGAAAAAGAATTATCTTGTCAAGCAGGGGTTGCGAGGAAGAGTACGCGCACTCCACAGTTTCTTAGGTTGTAATGAAGTACAACATATTCCAAAGCTAAAAGATACGAAGCACTCTAGGTCAAGAGTCAGTCAACGACTGAAAGATTTAATTATATAACAACAGTATATCGGGAAAATCTACAATTCCGTATAGACTTGCTTATTGTAGTTCTTTTCTGAAAAGGCGGAAATGCATTTCCTTAATATGGATTTTCAACCAAGTCGTGGTTACTCGTTAGCATGGAATGTGTTAAAATTCGACCTATAATTGCATAGTTAAATTTTGAAAGAAATAATGAAAATATCCATTTCAAAATAGTATATTTCAATATAGTGTCTTTTTTTATTCAGTAAAGAACGGCTATAACCATATGAATAATTTCTGGTAAATTTCAAAAGCATAGTTCAAAGATGGTACATTACTGCCGTTGCAGAGATCTGAATGACTTATTAGACCGCTAAGACATTGATAACGTTTGAACATGAGAACGATAAACATGGAAACCCATATTTTTTGTTAGAACAAAACGGGATCGTTTTTCGTGTACCGGACGAAACAGACCGCTTCGCTCTGTGTCTAGGAGAGACGTGAAACTGATCGAACGGGTGCTTTATGAACACGTCAAGTATTACCAATTAAATCGTCACCGCACATTAGCGTATAGTCAACTTGTAAAAAAAAAAAAAGGATTTTTTTCGTACACCATGTCCGTAGACCCGAAGTAAGTACTTCATAAAAAAAAGGCAAATGTCATTAGCATTGTTCTCCAAACAGCTGTGTAGTATTGGCTTTCCCTTTGAGAAAATTCCAGGTCCGGTGCATTGGGAATATTGCTATATATTTGCTTATTACCTCCGTGTGGTAAAGTGATCTTCGCAGCCAAGAACTGTGTAAAATTTGTTAAAAGATATTAACTCCAACACTATCGACATAGCGTTTTCAAAAAAATAGATGTTTTATTTCTCTAAAAGAAATACCGGGCTTGGACGAGATCACACGAAATTACTCACACGTGTCAAACGACGATGTCCAGGTAACTTCGCCTTCCGCGCTCAGTCTGATGTCCATACCAATTCGTGTTCCTAATGTTCATCTTTAAAATAGGTCGAATATATCCCAATACTATTAACCCAAAGATCACTCAGATCAAGATGTCAGTAGGATGTTTACACTGTCAGCGACCGTTTTTTAATGACAGCACCCCGATAACGAATACATTTATTAAATATCTTCTAAGGCTTGCTTTGTGCAATGGCGAACGCTTCCTTAAGGTGCATTCGCTCTACATCGTATTGCCGGTGTAACTCTGTAATCATAAATGTCCTGCGCTCCACCTCATTTACGAGAGTTTCCGATAACTTGAAAAATTCGTAGTAATTCACATGCATGAGCGTTTTCCGGTGAGGTTCCAGGAGCGCACTTTGTTCGAGTACTAACCTCTGATATTTGTTAATTAGCCTATTTAACTCAGCCTTCCGATTGACCTTGTTCTGGTAGGCTTTGTGCATCGCTTTCCAAGCATTTTTAGTTATTTCTCCGCTCAGTGCTTTAGGCGAGCCGGGGATTGCGCTGTTCAACACAGCATCGACCTCTGCTTCACTAATGATAGTACTTAATTTACGACACTCAAGATCGGCCTCATCTAAGGCTATCTTCGCGGGACCAATTTGGGTTCTTACTTCCTGAGCTTCTTTTTTCTTCGCATAGTACGGTTGTATAGCAATGACCTTGTCTATGTCTAATAATTTCAATAGTCTGCGGAGCCGATTATTGGTCATTCTAATTTTTTGCTGCAAGTTGCGTTTACGCTTTCGGATTTCTCCACGTAGCCTAAGCATGTTAATGCATGCCATATCAATAACATCAGTCGGATTCCTGAGCGGGTCAGCCGGGCCCGTGGGAGATATCACGTCATTCTGGGACATCAGAAGGATTCCTTCAAGGAAACACCTTCTTAAGGTTGAACTAATTTTGCTTCACCGGTGTATAGATATTATACGACACAAGCTAGTCTCGTCGTTACAACGCTTTGGTGAATTGTCATATCTATGTGGATATATATATTTAAATATATACGCTGCTTTGACAGTGGGTATGAAAATGGCAGGTAACGCATAAAGTGGAGAAGCTATCTTGTGTACTCCGTGTTTCTAAGCCACAAAGAAGTACCAAACCTCGTAGCAGTTCTGCTAATTATTTTGATTAAATAAAGACAACAACAATATTTTGACAGCTATCCAAAGAAACTAATGAGTTAATCGTCGGTTATACCAGAGATGGTCATTCCGCTTTATCCTCGGTATTTTTATATACATTTTATAACGTGGGTTTTTCTGATATTCAAAAAATAGCTAAACGGATTGTTTTTATACCAGTAAATTGTTTTTTTGTAATGCAATAAATTACTAGTGACACATACTGATTAGCTACACGCTTTCACTTATTTTTTATATGCTTCTGGAATAATAACTCATATGTTTGTTAATGGTATTTTATCGATAACGCCTTCATCTCATTGATGGCCATCCCATGTCGTGCTCTGCGATGCTTAAGGATTTGGCCTGCACAGTGTACCAAAAATGTTAATTTTTGGGCAATATGTCTTCTTCAAACTCCAATGTCATTTAAAAAAAACAACAGATCATCGCATGATGACAATATCACTGTTAATGATGTTAGTTATAAATATTTGATTATTGTAGATGAACAGGTCATGTTATATAATCCTTGCGAAAGAAAGCTGGTAACGCATTTGCCTACTAAAGGCAAGTAAAAGTTTAGGTTCGACACCAAACGTATACACAGTTCGCTATGTACTGGATAGATGTTATGTACCAGTTACTTATTGTCAAGAACATTTGACTAACAAATCCTGGCAAGATCCGCCAACCTGTATTACTGAAAATAATTTCTTTAATATTTCCCTTATGCAGTACATACCAAAGCTAAAATGGGTCGAACAGAATCTTCATTATGCCACTTCCTTCGCTATCTTCAGTCTAAAAGATCTCGGTTCCGTGCATTATCTCGTTTCCCTAAAAGCTACATCCGCCATATTATACCGCGTTTTTTGTGGATTTAATCGGTGTTCAAATCATCGAGTCTGTTCCCATAAGTGCCAATTTCTCTCTTCAAATAATTTATCTTCGATAATAAATTTATTTTCCCATTGCTTATTTTGCCTGCGCAGGGTTTCAAGGCTAATTAATCTTGATTATTCGACTGTTCTGTAATAATCTAATCTATCTGTAATAATCTGTCTAATAGCAATTGAGCTTCACTTCGCGTTATTTCCTAATTCTACCACCCTGTCTATTTCCAACTTATCAGTGAAAAGTTTATAGAACGTGTGAATCGGTTCGGTGGCAATGCCCATTCTGTTTAGCTCTAATAAACAGAAAGAATTACACTGTCACAAAGAAGAACTGCCTACTCTCTAAAAACAAACCAAAAATCCGACGACCTGAATGACCTAACGAAAAGAAGTCATTTAAATTCAAGATCCTAACAAAAGCAGATTGTTCTGATGTTGCTATGAGGGCTATTGCTGCTGTTGCATTAGCAGCGTTGTTATTTTTTCCAGGGGCATTTTTAGCCTCGCCGCTCAAGCCATAGAACCTTGTGGCAATTAGTGTAGGTTAAGCGTAGGAAATTTGAAATACATTCTAGTTGCGTAAGCGGAAACACCATGTTTCTTACCACCGCCATTGCCAATGCTTATATCTGGTCTGGAGCGATCTGTGAAAAGCCGCTACCTGCAGGTTTAACCGCCGACTTTCTTCTGTACCGATCTGCTGCACATGCATGAAAACAAAATAAGAGGCTTGCGATAAATAGATAGTTAGGTTTTAACCGCCTTTTGACTGTTGGGCTGTCCTGTAAGCTGGCATGGTGCAATCATCGGAAGAAAATGTTTTTTACTCATAGAATGTTAGGTATTCTTTTCTTAGGTACTATTCCCGTCTATGAGCTCTTTCTAATTCATCCTCTTGTACCTATCCTATGGTACCCCAGCTCAATGCTATCTTTCAACATACATGACCCTGTTAAACTTCAACAGTTTATGTACAAATTAAATTGCTTTGCAAAGTTTCCCTTGGCTAGCGCTTTTAAGGCTCCTTTCCTTTTTCCCTGCTTCTATTAAACATTAAATACCTACAAATAGTTATCAGAAACGCACCTCCAAATCACTTTTGTCATCAATCGAGGCCGGTGACCTGTCTAGACATCGCTTGCTCCCTAATCGCAAAGAAAACCCTTTCAATGCTGGGGCATCCACAGTGAGCGGTGCAGTTTGCATAGGAACTACTCCAGTGAGCGTTTGCCGTCAAAATCACGCCCGTTTGTTAAGCTGCATCTGTGTGAGCGTGAGTTATTTCTGGATTAATAGGAATACTACGGGTTGTTCGGGATTATATTGTTGTATATAGCAAAATTAGATAGGATCCGTGCTACCGTTGTTCTAACTCTCGAACCATAATATTCGTCAACGAAGAATCTATTAGATGCATTCTTACCTGAATGGAAAAAAATATTGATTTACCACTAGGAACAAGAATTATGTACGTTACTTTTGTACGTGTGGTATAAGTCTAGATACAATTGATTTATACCTGAATTTCTAGATTTCATAGAGGTAACTAACCCCTATAAGCGGCAGAAACGCTTGAAGAGCCAAACTTCTATGATTTTGAAATCTATGAAAGTGTGTATATTATCTTGTGAGTTTGCGTACGTTAATACGATCACGAATTTTTTTTTTTATTAATTTTTAAATGTGCATACCGTTGAAAGCAAATTCATTTTCGATTTGCAGGTCTTGCATTCGTCTGATAGAAGGAAGCAGTGTTCTGACATGGTAAAGTTTGCGACCTAAGTATTGTAGCAGCGCGGCTTGAAGAAAGAAATGCATGTCTATTTTAGCTGGCCTTTATTTCTGGGACTTGTCTGAAGCAATGCTTAAAAGTAGTACCAGAGGTAAGATGTGAAATATATTTCAATTTCCATTATTTAGAATAGCTATAATAAGCTGAAAAAGTTTTCCCGAACCACACACTAGACCTAGTACCTCCAAGCTTGCAAATCGATTTTCGAAACCTGCTAATAATCTCCGAGTGATATCAAAATTTCACAAAACGTATTTTGTTACAATAATGTACAATATCGTAATGCGAATAAATGAAGCCATTTCGAAACACTTCCTCGACTACCTCGACCGACTATATTAATCAGACTAATTGAGCCTACGTCTTGAACATTATTCTCATCCTCCCTTCGGTGATACAGTCGTCTTTAAGAACTATTCGACGGGTCAATTACGAGTGGGGTAAAGCATATGGGGTTTCAAGTATCTCGAAACTTTGAAGTCCGATACGCCTTGCACTTACAGAGTACGTACGAGCTTCCGAATGTGTTCAAAGTTCCAATATCAAGCTTATATTTACTATAAGCGCCCACAAATTCCTTGCCTCTCCATCTCACACTAATTTGCACTTTACTCTTTACATCTCTCAGATTTATAAATGAGACATGTCCAAAGGTTACTCTTCAGATCGCTCAATTGCGACAACTCATCATTTTTAGGGTAATATTAGCATCTGGCTTTGGAAAACAACGCGATTCGGGCTAACCAGTTGTATAGTTTAACAAAATCTTCACTGTTGCTTTGAATCATATACGAAAACATGGTGCGTGACTTCTACTTCGATGAATGGGTAACGACTGCAAACGTTACTTGTGAGCAGTTGATACGGGCAGTCAATAATGTTTGGAATATCCGGAGATACTTAAAAGGACGCGCTGTTGCTAGGCATGGAAAGCCTCAGGTCGTCTCTGTTATACGCATAGCACGAAAATAGGTATTCAAGGGCGAAGGTGCGTTGAGATATTTATCTCAGTAGCTCTCAAGAGTATTACTTGAACGATCTGCCAAGGTAGGGGGCCCCAATAAAAGCAGTCAATAAGTATAGAGTAGGAGAGAGTTTCTTGCATTAACCATGTCTCTTCTTGCTTACACTCTAAGTGAACGATTAAAGAGAAGACTAAGTGCGTACTCGGTCTGTGCTTAGTTATGACCAATGCCTTTGAGCAAACGTTGTAACACCGAGTCATTGCTAATAACAATTTGCCTCCTTTGCCGAAATGAAAGTGCGTTTACATTGACGAGCTCCCTATGGCTGAGCGAGTCTACCTAGAAGCACCACGCACGCCATAGTCAAGAGACTTTTCACAGACTTCGATCTTGCGTTTCGAACAGAAGGAATACCTGTCGTATATCTGCATTCGAGGGGGTAGCACTTCTCAAATTCGAACGGCATGGCAAAACAACTAAGCTTAACGGGTAACAACTAAGTTCATTACCGCTTTTGATAATGTCTGTGCGTGTGAGGTTTGAGCGAATAGATTTGGCAAGAGATTTGCCGGCCTATACCGGTCCCACACGACGACTGTCTGCCATTGGTAGCCAACCTCAAAGTCAACCTGAGGCACTAAAATATAGGCTAAATATGATAGGGAATCCATCAGAGCTAAAATGGCCATACAGGATACGTTAACGATATTTATTTCACAGGACAAAAATGCTGAATTTTTCTTACTTCTTTGGATGGTATTCAAATGTCTGTTATGGTTCCACGTGGTTGAACAATGATTGTGATAACATTTATATAGTAACGAATTGAAAATGATAATAATAATTTTTGGTTTTTATCTGGCCTACATTTTGTTATTAATTAAAGAAGTAATGTTTTCTAATATGCTGAATATTATCACATATCTATTATATAATTAAAGGCACGACTACGATTACGGTATCCATGTGGCTTTCGAGTAGCCCTTCGACAATGCTTGCAAAAAACAATCTAGTTAGTGACAGCGTGAACAAAGAAGATCAGATCTCCCAAAAACACAAATTGGCTTGAGCTTGAACCACCGTAGCCACGTTTCTTGTTGAAGCGAACGACTAATTTCTTTTTTGCCAGGTACGAAAGACTTGAAATTTGCCGTTTAACGTGATAATAGACCGTTTTGCTGAAACTGCATACTAAATATTTTTTTTTATAGCATTTTTAGCATTTTTTTTTATCGCAGCCACGCTATTGGCACTTGTTACCCTCTATACTTCCTGCTAATGCTAATGAAAATCTCAGGGGTTACTGTTATATGGGCATATATATCAACATATCATAATCAGGGCATTGTTTGTCAGAAGCAAGAGAAATGTGGTCTTACTATGAAATCACTCGTTCAACAGAGGGAACCATTACATGGTCAGGAAAGGATATTTTTGATAATACACTACTAGCAAAACCTCATCTTCTTACGGACTTTTAACTCACTGGAACCAAATAATACCAAAACGTTCACATACATACAAAGCAATTTTTTTTTGAGAACGTACCTAGTGCTGTTCTTAGCATAATCAAATTCGCCCATTCTAGAGTAGACGCAGATGTCAATACTAGTCAGAAAAGCCAGGCCAGGCAACCTTATATACATGGTAGAGGCTACTTTAATCGGATTAAATCTGGGTTTTGGCTACTTATTACTATTAGACCAGCCGTAGACAGAGAGATGCGAACACGAATGCAACCTGTATGGTTGACCAGAAGCTACCGAAACAGGACAGCTGTGACAATAGTAAGAGAGAACACTTCTAACACATATTCGAAATCATCATTCTAGCTCGACTAGTTTAAGATTATCCAACTCTAAGATCTGCCAGATTGACTTGTAAGAACCCAATAGTTATTATATCCATACGAAAGTGACCTAATTGGCTGTTATATATATATATATATATATATATATATATATTTATACGATGTGATTTCAACGATCTAGTCTAGTTGAAGACAGGAAGCAGGAATAGCTTTTCCAAAATCTGCCGAAGACAAAACTGGACAAAATGTGTAAATAAAGTTCTATGCTATTCAGTATAGGAATCCGCCGGATTTGCTCGTAACAGCTTAACATAATCTATACATTTCTTCGTCCACATAATTCATAGTAATATATAATAAAACTAAATTTATTAAACCGACAGCTTTAAGAAAACGCTAACACGTAATGTCTACAGGTACTTTCCATTGGGTTTCTCAATGCGGGCCACCCACAAGAGCACGCTGAAAGCAATGTAGGATATCGGTGAGGGAAATTGATTACGATTTATTTGCTAATTATGCGGCGATACCTATAATAGAAACTGTCGCTTGTCCCCATCTTTGTTATTACTCATCTAAGATCTATCGATTCTATAACTATACTATAACACAGATTAGAGGATTCCAGGTAAACAAGATGCATCTTAGTCATTTAAGCACGAACACAAGCTTTTCATTTTATGTGCGCACATATTTCAGACTAACCTTCAATACATTAGCATCTGTCAAGGTCGAAATAAGCTATCTTTACGACAGGTCAAGTCTAAGGGCCCTGTCTGTTATCATGACTGGTCAGTAGAGGTACCGTACGTGCCTAGAATAACCAAATGGATTAAAACTCATAGTTGAGCGCTCTATAAAACGTCCTGTTGAACTAATCGGTCTCATTCCGCTAAGGATCCTTCAAAGGGAATAGGATGTATCCTGAAACCAGTTTTTAGCAGTAGATCGTTGTGTGAAAGTAAGTTTGTACTAAGGCCCTACCGAGAAACCGGCAGGAAATTTTTTTATACGCAATTTTTTTGGAAGTTGCCGCTTTGTTAGATTTGGATAGATATGAGCGCTAGCGCAAATAAATATTTGAGAGGTACGAAGTCATCGATTGTATGAGTGGTTGTGTATCGTTTGTTAGGGCTGCTAGTTTCTCACTGCAGGTCTCAACTGACCATCATAGATATGTCTTTCGTGTTTGGCCTGCTTCTATATACATAATATAAGCGGTTAAACGGGCAACAACGACAATCACAGGAACTATTTCACTTCTCTAAAAGGACCCCGCGCATTCCAACACGTAACGTTAAGGTGTCCTTGAAGAGCTATAGTGAACTGCGCCCGTGACGCGGTAAGTGTTAACAATTGTTTGTCGTTCGCCAGATAAAGTGTCTGCGGACACAGTAGATTCAAATGTCTCTATATTTCAAATAATCAAACAACTCCGCAATTATTTTATTTCAGGGCTTCAAACAAGGTCGTCATCTGCTGTCACGATTCGACGCATCAATTGACAAAACTGTCAGAAGAAAGTTGACCACCAAAGTCGTTAGTTGGAAAGACGTTGTTTTCCTCGGATGAAACGGCTTTCTTTTTTATTAATAAACATGATCTACTACGCACAGCTTTGTCTTCTCCCGATAGTGCTTGCTTCTGTAGGAGCTGCTTCAAGAAGTTCCGGGGATCTTCGGGAAGAGAACTCTTCTTGCTCGCAACCAGTATACTATACAGAGGGCGGGAACGATACCATTTTTGTTGGATGTCCACGAGGCAAGTTAACTGTCTCGCCTTGGGACCCCCCGAAGATTGATGCCAAGTATCTATTTTTCAACGAGGCAAGTCGGAGCTAATTATTAATAATAATGATAACTTTTGTTCTAATCAAAGCTTGTAATCCGCTGCTGTAGACAGGCTTTGCTTAATTCGTTAACTTGCAATAATAACACCTCTGTCCTGTTTCTATTTGTCTTTACTCTGTAATACGACATGAATGAACATCTTAGTATCAAATCGAAATCAAAAACATTGCAAACTTCGCATGTGACGTTATATTACAGCTCTGTTAACCTCCCAAAAGTGGAACAGACAACAATGTGGGTCATTCTGTATAAATACTGACACAAGTGAGAGCGCTTCAAAGTAAAAATCAATAGGAAACGCTCATATTCTTACTCTCAGCTTCGGCTCAGCATGAAGGCGCTAACTCAAAAAGGCATACCATGTATTCGGCGTAATTTAGTAAATCGTTCAACTGGGATAAATTGTATTGTGTCCATCGCAGCCATAAGCAGTACATATATTCCGCGAATGGTTGATTATAGGCAAACCAGATGAATGCCAGCTACATTTTGCCATGGAATCATTCGTTTGAACTTGATGAGATGCCCCGATGCAGGGAAAACGAGACGATCATAGCCATCATCCATGGTTATACGGAAACAAGCGATGAACCATGGATTTCGTCACTGCGCCGTAGCTTCCTCCGCCGGTCGCTGCCCAATCAGGTACCCCGAGAGAGAAAGAGAGAGAGAGAGAATTCCATATTGACTTTTGGCTATCCGGCGGATTTTCACGGATGCGATCCCGAGAAGCGAGCTGTAATTTTTCTTTAACAATTTTTTGTTAGTTACACGACATTAGCAAGTTCTGTGTTTTTTCGTGTCCGTCTCAATTTGCACCGAAAGCGATAACATAAGGTACAGTATATATAAAAGGTGTTTAAAGATCTTAGTGCGTGAACATATTTATTTTGTGATAGAATAATACTAACAATAATGGCAGTAACTAAAAGCAGGGGACGTGTAAAACATTATTATCCGACGCACATCGCCGGGTATTTGACCTTCGAGAAGACAACGATGTGTGTCGTTACTTAAGTTCTGCCCTACAGAATACAATTTTTCTTACGACTTTACAGGTATCATATATATATATATATATATATACGGGCACCTAATCTAAATAAGCCAGTTCATTTATTTGTGCCCTGAAGCAGTGTTTGGTGGCAATACCAAACATGAAGCTTGAAACGCCTTTTAGTTCATGTTGTCGTGAAGGCCTTTTAATGAACGGTTGTAACGCATCAACGTATAACAAAACTATGGATTTCAGGTAACCGTTGTCGCGGTTGACTGGCGCTTTGCTGCACGAGGAGATACAAGGAGCCAGCTATTCAATTATGTCCAGGCCGCTAGTAACGTGGCAATGATGGGTAGAGTGTCTGCCGAATTCTTCGCTCGTCTATTAAAAAGGTGTCAATTTTTGTAGTAATCGGTCAAAACAACCATTTTGTTATAATTGTGGAGGAAAACATTTCAGGTTTTTGATTACTGCCTAATTTTTCTGCGACCCTTCCGCGTACTAAGCTTATTATTACATAATATTAATAATAATAGTAATTATTACAAGTATATCTTCATCAATCTGAGGCTACTTTGCCAGTACGCAATTGGATGCACATAACTTAAATAGATTCTGCCACTATGATTTTTCAGTTGTAGTTTAAATGAAAGGTCACTGCACTTGGTCGGTCATTCATTGGGTGCACAGGTTGTAGGCAAACTTGCATCTTGGATACACAAAGTGCACGGAATAATACCCGAAAAAGTCACAGGTAGATATAACGCATTTCTACAGTATCTGATTGTACATATTTATCACATCGTGACTGTTTTGACATCGTTAACTGGAATGCTATCGTCGTCGAACTGGTGAGTCTCTCTGCCGAGCATGCTGAATTAGTTGAATCAAACCTCGAGTAAGTACTATCGGCCTATTCAGTTCAATAGAACACCCTTAAACCGTACATACGTGTATATACCGCGGATCCTCATTTTTAGTCTGTGGTTATTATTGTCGTCTAATTTCTTTGGTCCTCTTCTAAAGTGACACGCGCTCCATTTCGCATTTTCAATGCAGGCTAGAGATTTTTTTTTAATCCTGAATCTATTATAATTCAACCAACGCCGTGGCTATATAATAACAGTTCGTTTTGTTTATGTTTAGCATTGGATCCAGCCGTTGTCCTCTTTCCAAGAACCCATCCAAATCGGCAGGACACGCACTTCCTCTTAGCGTTGCATACTTCGGCACGTCCATCAGTTCTCGCGACGGCCGCCGGAGCTGTTGGAGTTTTTGAAGCTTTCGGAGATGTCGACCTTTATCCTAATGGTGGTGTAATACTTCAACCGGCATGTAGAGGTAGAAGGAAGAACCTCCATTAACTTTTTCTCGCCTTTATTTTATAATAATACAGCGCATTTTATTACAATAATTCCGGTAGTAAAAATCATGTCGGATATCGTAGGTTAAATTTTACTTTATTGTTTGTTTCTAAATCACACGTGACTTATGTAGCTGCTAAAGTCTGCTTGCCGTGATAGGCTTGAAAAACATGATATTTATGAGCTTAATTTTGAAACGGATAAATAATCATCATATCTGTGATACTTGCTATTATATTTAGACGAGAAAAAATATGCCTGTAAAATTATTTTTGATAGTCGTGTTTCTAAAGTGTAGAATTTAAGCAATTCGGTTCTTACGGCATCTTCTGGATCGAATCAGAGATAATACAAATTAAATTTTTTCTTTCACTATTTCAGGAAACAACACCTTTTTCTGTTCACATAGGCGAGCATATATTTATTACACTGATATGGTGGCTCACTGTAATGACCAGTGTGATTTCAGTGGAGAGTTGTGCGAAACGCCAACGCAAGCTCAACGGGGGACATGTAATCAGGGAAGAATTAACGGAGTGTGTACATTTATTAACAGACAAGCTGACAATCTTCTGAACGAGAACCAGCATGCAGATGTCCAAAGAAGCTCGAGTATCATTTACTTCACTACCAATATGGATAACTTAAAGATTAGATGCAATCGACGATCGAACGAACAAGGGCGCGGCTAATCTCCGTCGCATATTAGGAAGGAAGCACTTAATAGGAGTCATTAAAATAGCTGTTGCCTGTTAAACGTCAATGCTTTTAAAAGGGAAATCCTCGCAAATTCATATGATTCGTTCATTACCGAAATGCTACTTAACAAACTACGTAGCTCCATTTGTTTAAATTTCTTCTCTCATTTTTGAACATTTCGTCATGTTTTTATGCCATCAATTATTTTCGTCGTAGGATACGATTAGATAATCGTTTAACTTTTTTTTTTTTTATTTAAAACAGACATTTAATCAATAAGCTTAGTGGTATTGCATGCAGGCAAAACTATCACGTCTACAAATATTTCTTTTTGGTACAAATCTTTGTGGTTTGCGACAATAATGAGTAATACCGCTAATTAAAAGAAGAACACAAAACAGAGAACTTTAAAGTTTAAAAAATAAAATTTAAGGAAAATGACTAATTCAATTTATTTAGGTAAAAAGTAGTAATTAAATAGTTAAGGGGTAAAGGTAGTTAGTTTATTGGGGGCTATTTTACCTCAAAAAAGGAGAACTTCGCTGAAATTACTACTGTAAATAATGTAAATGTAAAATAAGAGTAGTCGGAACGACGACACTTTTTGAAACGTTCAGAAAAAAGTTCCAGGTTATGATAAGTTTATTCGAGCTGTACTGTAATGAGTGGTAATGATGATCGAAAGTTAGGAAAAAGGAAAAATATTGTACCACGAATAAAGTGGGGCGACGCAGCATGTTCCGTAAAAGCACAGCGTAAAAGCAACTTATAGTTGGTAAATAGCTTTTAACAACAAAGGTAGTTTACTACCTGTAAACCTTAACAACGTATATTATTATTTTCATTTCATGTGAAATAAATGTAGATTGAGATTTGCCGTCAACACATAAATAGCGATTAAAGATTACCTTCACGCTTTGAGTCATTGTGATACTATAGTAATCATAGACTACCTAATGTACATTGAACTATGCCGGGCCCACCTGCTACGAGCTATATATATATATACATAGAAAACATATATATATCAACATAGAAAACTCTCTAATCTCGTTTTCTAATCCACATTATGCAGTCAAATCGCTTCTGTGAAGCCTGAAACACTGGTAAATTTATTTCGGCTCTTTTGTAGCAGAGGCAAAGATTTTGTAGTGTAGCCTATTTTTTACATTTTCCCTTGTCAATGCTCTATAACCTTTATAATGATTAAAATAATTCTTGTTAAATTTTTATCCCGATTGTCATGGCTCATTCTTATATGTACTAGCCTTTTCCCTTACCTCAGTTTATCTCCTCTCGGATGTAGATTATTCTTACTAATAGAAACTGTACAGTAATAATTAACATTTACAGAGTATATTTTTATTTCTAATTAAGCAGTACAAGCGCATCCTTTTTTCAACTAAGCCATTCTTCACTACTTCAATTGCTTACAGCAAAAAAAAACTAATGATTACTATTCATGTAGCTTGTGTAAGTTAAAAACAGATGAGGCATTTCGCAACTGAGTTCCGCGCGCCCATCGGTAAAGGCCAGCCGGTGAACAGTCTCTGCCGTTCGCTCGCGCTTAACTTCAAGAGAAAGAGTCGGAGCAATTCTGCCCATAGTAAAGAAGCGAATCCTGTCAGTAACGTCTGTCTAATGATCTAAACTTTGTACGTATCGTAGACGATCTTTTAACGTGTGCCAGTGAAGTGTTGTGTCTCTGCCAACGTTACAAACTACTCCCTGCATCGATTTACAAGTTTTATGTGGTCAGCTGTTCTATACGGAATAGATAGGATAGGTGATCAGGGTAGATTCTCTGTCTTTACTGGATTAATATAGGTTTATGTACGATGGTTACTTAAGAGATTTATTGAAGCTTTCAGAAGATTAGGTGTATTTCAAATTTTCTACGAGACAAACTTTTATGTTCTATTATATGCTTGTCAAATGCAACCAGTTGTTTTTGGGTGCGACTATTTTTTTTTCTACTATTCTAAGTATAAGTAAAAATGAGTATTCTACGTGAAAACATGTAATATAATTAGGCGAATAGTCGCTTATTTTTTTTATTATGTAACTTAATTTGGCATAAGTGAATTGAGAACGATATAGGATCCAAGTGATCTTGCGCATTCATATTTACATCTGGAAGCTATATACATATATGCTCGCCTGATATTCATTAATAATAATGAAAGAGATTTTGAATTCAATTATTGTTGCAGTGATGCAGGTTTCGCTCTCATCAAGCTCAAGTTCAATTCTATAATCCACTTGAATGCACCTAGTCCCTTCTTGTATACAATAAACCACAGCAGTAAACAGTAATACATCTATCATTTTCTTCTATCTATCTATTCAACTATCATTCTGACATCCCTATGGTAAACGTGCGACTCTCTAGTCGTGGCAGGAATATAGATATGAAATCAAAAGTGTCCTCTCTGAATTCGTCTTATTACTGCCAAGTGTTCCTTCCCGCTATCACTGAAACGTTTGCCTTCCGGAGATACTTAATATCACTACTATTTTGATGTGTTAATTAAGTTTGTTGGTCTGAAAAGAAAGACTCACGTGACAGATACGACTACGTTTCTAACATTTTCTGGACCAGCGTAGCCTTATAGGAATGGGTAGCTACGTATATCTCTGGCGGAAGTAAAACAGAAGATTTCCTTCTTAGAAAGAAAGGGCAAAAGATGGAAACGAACGTTTAATAAAAAGATGTTGCCGTGTCAATTTGTATTGATTAGATCGTATTAAAAAAAGAGGGCGCTGATGGTGGATAGTTACGCGTGCAGAGAACAGGTTTGTTTTTTATCTAGTGGCTTGGTTACTAATTGTTACAAAAACGGTTATGACGATAACGGCTATTCGAAACAGCTGGAAACCATAAAGAAAAAAACTGTTTAGACATCTATCCATGCGACTGGTTTCTATAAAGCAGTCGACATCACTTCGGCTTTGTACCTGATAAAATCCAATTTTGGTTTTATCCGTATGGTTCGTGGTCATATTCTACAGATATTCAACAACAACGTATTCTACAAATATGTAAGCACTAATAAAGTGCAATCAGATTTATGGCGTTACCTAATGGCACGTAACTATCGAAGGGTCATATTGCCTTTTATATTATGAATCTGAAAATTAGTTTAGAATGTAACGATTAAATTTATACACAAGTTAGAATGAAAAGTTGCTTAATTTGAAGCTCCGTGGAAAGACTGGATCTGAAACAAAAGCGCCTTCTCGTAATTGTCACAGTCTTCTACAGTTCGCTTCTGAATCCATTCATTTGCGTCTACATGCGAATTTGAATGCGCACGTCAAGTTAAGCCTTGGCTTGATATAATACACTGGTCTGGTCGTTATTTCAGAAAACTTAACGACTAAAATTAATCACCTTGTGCAAAAGAATGTTAAACTATCCACATAACTGCCCTACACCATATGTGTATGTTTTGTGGTTGGATTTAGACCACTTTGTAAAACACCATTGCTGTGATGGAATGTTCATTTATGTTATCCTTATTCCTAAGTAGAACTTGCCAGTTTTTAATTTTGCATGAGCATTTCAAAGTAATATATCCTATTATAGACGTTGGGCTAATAGAATGCTTTAACAAAAAACGATTGTGATATCTGCAAGTGCCATAAGCAGTGTGCTAATGAAGCCTCGTGGTAGATTATTAAGACTCGCTTGTACCCAAAAAAAATTGTAAGAATGTCGTTAGCTGGAATAGCCTCTATGTTTCGAATGTAACAATCGATCTGTTGGCTGACTTCCAGCACGGAACTTGAGTAGCCTAGAAAATTCCACTTTGCGAACTTCATCTACGTGCATTCCTATGCCAAGAATATTGCAGATCAATTACAAAGAACGCAATAGCTGGCTGTTATTCTCTGATCTATGTTACATACGTATTAATATTGTAATCATGCCGACTAACAAAGTATCTCTCTGGGTTGGAAAAGAGAAACTGAAGTAATAAAAGGATTAGCCTTAATTAGCACATTTACTTAACATGAAATATTTATAACTTGGCTGTTTATTAGTTTAAACAGAAAATGACATCAATGAGTCGAATAATTTTTTTCTGGTCTTAAGGTATGTAATGTCATCAAGTAATACTTTGATGTAAAATCCTTTGAGAGGTTTGCTTCAACCCGTAATCACTCAATATATTTTCTCCGTGTGAACATATGTACGCGTGGACAAAACGTATATAAATATGCGTGTGAAGTTTGACTTAAGCCTTAGAAGTCGTAAACAAATCCAAAACCGCCTGTAAAATTCTTCATTTAATTCAGGAGACAGAACTTACGAATCAAAGGGTTCCCATAATCGTGTAATAATGTCAACTCTCCTGAAAGCCGTTGCAAGTGCCGTGGTTACGGTTGATAGTGCGGGGCGTATTATTAAGGTAAGAGAACTTATATGATAGTAAAAATACGGATCTTATTATATGTGACCGTAGCCGTGACGCTTATTGGCGTGTCTCGTATTGTAAATGTGCTTCACGTACGTCTATTAGCAACAAAAGTCGAATATTTGTATCAGTTACAATTATGGATAAGTCGTGGAGAATAGAAATATTTCGTTTATCTTCCAACTAACCAGATTGAAGCAAACACAAAATAGGTGCAACTTACTTAGTTTATGTACAAAAGTGGTTGTATGTATCATATATTTACCTCTATTTAATTACTATTATAATCCGCATGAATGGTCTTAAACAATTAAGTTGGAAATTGCCTTATGCAAAAGCCATTTTATTATTCTTACCTTTATTTGTTCTATGAAATATGAAATTTTTTCTGCGTACAGGAAGTGTTGCATTCTGGCTCTCTGGGTATTGTTGACAAGGCTACCGATGACCTTCAAACTGAAGCGGATCGAAGTGCCCAAAAATGTATTGTTGCTTCGCTTGGCAAACGCTTCCCTAAGATGAAAATAATTGGTGAAGAAGGGTAAGTCCCAGAGCAGATTTTTAATACAGGTATCTGCAACACGCATTTTCAAATATAAAAGTAATAGTAACTAAAAAAACATTATGTAATGTAACCAATGGTATTAAAAGGCGGTCTGTTTATTACCTGCTAGTTAGGGCAGATGCCAAGCTTATCTCGAAAATAAAAAAATTAATTAACAACATAAGCTTTTTTTGTGGAGTGAAATCAATGAAACTCAGAATTGTGATATAATCTGTAATCGAAAAAATCAGGGTGATTTGTTAATTTTTAGGTAATCAAATTATTTCAGACAAGTTCAGTAAATGTCAAAGCATTGTTTTAGTGTATATACTAAATCCGATGGTTGTAAACGACATTTTTTGTGTTATGTTGCAGTTTTGCAAAGTATTTAAACTGTAAACGAAATATGGGTTGATTTGGCGCGATGGTTTCGAATGGAGTTGAAGAGTAAGCTACAGGTTTAGAAATGCCAAGTGATTCATTTACAAGCGTCTTCATGCTATATATAAAGCAAATAAATATTACTTTGTAAAGTACGCATCACTTTTAGAGTCGTGACTACTTTGATCGGTTTCGCGCATTACGAGCCCTATACTGTGTTTCTACTTTTCAACATATATGCTTCTAATTTTTATTAGAAAGGAACTTGGAAAAAATATTTACTTCGCCAATCCCTTATATGGTGTTATTCTGTTCATGACACAGGTTTGCGCAGTCTTGTTTTTACATATTTCGCTCTAGGTTGAATATTCCCACGTGTGTTTTTCGCGTTTTGCGTTCGGTACTTAAGCTTTTAGGCATTACTTCAAACGGTTGGCTCCCGTCTATAGGAAACTGGGTTGACAAGAGGAGTCAAACCCAGATTTTACTGTGTGTGTCTTCAAGTGTAGTAGGCGAACACGTTATCTTTTTTAAAATGTCTTCTAAAAATACTAACTTGAGTGAATTTTTATGAAAACATTCAAGTTAGCTTTTGTAGCTGTAATTATTATATCGATTATTATTAGATTACTTATTCATATTGCATATTTTTAGAAGAAGAAAGCATTTTGATTTTCAAGAATAATGCATATAAACTTGAATTATTAGGTTCTATTTGCTTACCTCGGAAAAAATGAGTATTATAGGAATGAGAATAATTTTGAACAAATATATAAGGAAAAACAGTATTGAAAAATCTTCAAGTCCAGATGATAAGTACGTATTTTTAAATGCCTCCTTTTATTTATCTTACATAAAAATATGTTCACGTTTCTATTTTTTTTTTTAATATTAAGAACTTTTTGATAAAAATAAAAATTACAAAACACGTTTCTTTATTATGAAGAATCATAAAATTTAGTTGAAAAATTCGTTAAGTCTAAACCAGCATCTCCCGTCAAACAACTTCTACATACTTTATCAAAATATATAAAATTTTGACTTTTTCTTGTAAATTGGTTCCATCTATTAGACATATCTCTCTAGCAGCACATAGTTCAAGTTCGTGGCCTCACCAGCTTTTACTAGTCCTCTTCGTATGTTTTTTTATTGAGCCGTTTACACATAATACTAACTTTTTAAAGCTACTCGAGAAGCTCGACAAAGATAAACAAATCTAGTCTAGAATCACAACCTAATCCTTCTTCTTTTGTTTCCTTCCTCCTATTGATTCCTTTCAAAGGCAGTTAGTCCTTGCTATGTTCTTGGTATTGGTTCCTTTGCTTGCAGCCCTCAAGAGAATCTCTCAGCTAAACCTGAGTGGGTCGTCGACGGTCTAGACGAGACTGTTCTCGAGGAGACCATCCCAACTCAACTCACCGGTAAAACGTTTTAGCAAGTCAAGAAATTAGTAATCAAAGCAAACCTACGAGTAAGATGTAAGTCGGTTATATTGGATATACGCGTCAGAGAAGAACTAAGCTAATTCTAGCTGTGCTGTAAACCCCTAATAATAATTCCTATTCCCCCTGCAATGAAGGCATTACGCAGAATCCAGCACAAATCCTGTGATTTCAATATTTCAAAATCGGAAGCCTGAAATATGGGTAATCCCCTTCACATCGTCCATTTGTTATAGATCTCCTTGTTTGTCCCGACGTCTGTCATTTACATACACACGAATATGACGATATGACGACGGTGTTTATCTCTTTTTTTTGCTTCTTATGTCGTAGATGTTCGAGAGGAGGACATCGTCTGCTGGGTTGATCCGTTGGACGGCACGAAAGAGTACACCCAAGGTCTTCTTGATCATGTCACAGTTCTTGTAGGATTTGCCGTGGAAGGTCGTGCTGTAGCGGGCGTGGTTCATCAACCCTTTTATAACTACCAGAAAGAGAAGGATATATTCCAACAGGGTCGCACAATGTGGGGTAGGCTTTATTTTTGACTTGCATGCACACACATTGTACACATGCACACTATAGCTTGACATTGCATCTGTAATAGTAGTGTTGTACTTGGAATATTTATGCGTCAAACAGTAGATACAGAAGCCAAAGAACTATGCTGCTGGACACTTAAGTTGTATTTTTCGTGTATTAGCAACATCCAGTCATTTAGGTAAGAGCTACAAATTCGCAATTCGGACTATAAAAACATTTCAGTAATTTAGAACAAATCCTTAACGAAAATCAAGGAACTCGAAAATAAAAAGAAATTGTGAATATTCGTAATGAACTTAGTTCAGAAAAGCACTTGGTTACTACCACTTTTTTTTTATTCAGTATAACTTAAAGTGCTGCAACGGGCAGAAAAATATAGCATCGAGAAAAACCAAAGTCTTTGCTTGAACACTCTGACGGGCTAACCACCTAAGTTCTGTAGGATAATAGAACCGCTTGGGTCTACAATTTGTGTACACTTCAGTCTGCTACGTTTTCGATGAATAGAAGTGTACATTTCAGATTTTATTATCAACTGTAAAACAGGTAACGTTTATATACACCTTCTGTATCACCAGGAATCGTGGGTCTCGGTGTGCGCGGGATTAATGTCCGAGTTCCCCCCGCAAATGGTTTCGTTGTTACTACTACTCGTTCACATTCCTCGCCAACGATCAATGCTTGTATCGATTCCATGAAACCTACTGAGATAATTCGAGTTGGTGGAGCTGGCCATAAGGTAAAGTCAAAGTTTTGAATACTATACATTGTGTGAAATCACTCTGCTAAAATTCAGACGTGACATTTTCAGTTAAATGATACAATAAGAAGATGTTAACCAGTAAAATGCTAAACGTGAAGTTTGCCACTGACGCTTCAAAATGAGAAGTGGATTATATCCCATCGCCTTAAATCTTGCTTAAATGAGTAATCAATACACTTTACACTCAAGTCACATTTTTAGAACTAGACGAAATTTGTTTCAGTTAAAATATTGACTGAAATGAAAATTCAGAAATTAAATTCAAAGATTTTATGAATACTTTCATTAGTAGAATTATGGATACCTTGCCGATTTGCACGCTACTTTGGACATGAATATTTATACAAAAGTTTGTGCTTTTGCTTGAAAAGCTGAACATATTTTGAAATACCCAATAGCGCAATTATTTAATTATCTTAATTTTCTAGATTGAAGTTCTGGTGGCTGAAGTAGCTTCTTATTTAGGTCTAGAAATGTCAAACTAAGTTTGATTTGAAATCAAATGCATGTATATAGCTTGGCTAATACTTTCGCGAAGAACGCTTTTTTAAACGAAAATCTACTATGACCGATGTAAACTACGATGTGTTTCTTTTACATAAAGGTTTGCGGGCAGATTCCGTAGCGTTTAATTCGCTCTAATATGAAAACGCTCATTGCACGTTACAAACGAAGGCGACCATTTTCTCGTACATTTGTTTTATTACTGATATGGATGGTAAATGTTACATTATTATGTTACATGAAATTACTCCTGTTAGCAAATTTGTTAAGACTTCACAGTTATCACGAGCAAATATTGGCGTGATGATTATCAAAACGAGATAGCTGATTTAACAAGTTGTCTATTTCTAAAGATCAAATTTCAAAACGTTAGCCTTCCGATGCTATTTCCGCCTCTGCTGTTTTGCAGGTTCTGCTCCTTATGGAGGGCGAAGCTCATGCTTACGTTTTTCCGTCACCAGGCTGCAAAAAATGGGACACTTGTGCCCCCGAAGCGCTGCTTGTTGCTGCTGGCGGCGCCCTAACGGATATTCACGGCAACGCGATTCAATACCATGCACACGTGGACCACCCCAACTGGGGAGGAGTATTGGCAGCTGCAAAAAAAGATGACATTGCCAGCTATCTAAGACAAGTGCCGAAAAAAGTGCGAGACGTGTTGCCGGTTCTAGGAAACAAGTCGAGCGGAAAGCTATAGGAAATAATGGATACTCAAATATCTTTCTGTCGCGTTTACTTCCATTGGCATAGATAAGCAACACACATAACATTTATATTTAAACAACCTGTGTGAGAACTGTTTTTTTTTATTCATACTGTTCATAATTTCATATTTATATATATTTTAAATCCCTAATTTGTAATGTTTTTTATTCGATGAGCTTAGGAGGTATTATCTTCTACTGTTGGACGCGACACTAGAGGTTTCCGTCCTGTACACTTAACCTAGAACCCTTCAAAGACACGTTTATCTGCTGTTTTAGTTGGATTATTTTACGTCCGCTAAATAAGCCATTAAGCACTACTTTCAGCGGGTCTTGCTCGACCTATCTGGGCTTACCTCTAACAGACTTATGAAGCAGTATGGCATATTTGGCAACATACCATTACTGAGTGTAACAAGAGCACAGTAACCAACGTTTGAATGGTGACGGCCGCATGTTTACCCTACAATAACAGTTACGAACTTTTGTGGGAAGAATATCGTCCCAACAATGAAAGCAGCTTCGCAAGGTCGAATTTTACAAATGCTAGAGAAAACGGAGATGAGAAAATAAATGAAACTGTTTTAACCAGTACTATTCTATTACTGTTCTGTCTATTAACTATGTGTATGCCTTTATTTAACAGAACGATATATACATGTATAGGGTTTTTGGTCAATAATTGTATTGTCGTACATAGAAATAGTGAACTAATAACATTATTACATGGTTGATTCTTTACAAAAATGACCAGGACACAGGAGAACATCGCGTTTACATAGACAATTACAGCAGAGATATTTTTGATCGACGAACTATAAATATTTGATGTTGTTGGAATAATATCTTTTGAATAATCTAATATTCCGTCCAAAGTTTTGTCTAGTCTGCCATACATTAGCTTCACTTAAATCGGAAAAACTTCAATTAAGATATTAATTTGCCATTTATTAAGAAGCCATTCGACAATATAGTTTAAAATAAGCTAGTTACATTCTGAATCATAAATGAACTCTACTTATTGAAAAACGTTAGTTCTATCTACCCCGAAAGGTACATATGGTATGTTTCCTACTGCGTTTCACCCAGTTTTGTACTGCAGCTTTTATTTGCAGGTTGTAACCGTTATTCTGACGGATTGTTATTTCACTTAGTGTCTCAACTCAAAGCAATGGCTTTCACGTCTAATTCAACCAGTTACGCATAT